CTTTGATCACCGCCTGTCAAAAGAGTCTTTCAGAGTCGTTGCTAGTAGCATCGGAATGGGGAGAGCTTCGAATACCCCGGTCTGATCGCTTCAGTGTCGAACACCCTATTGAGGCCGAGATATTCTCTGCGGAATTTCTGGAAAGTCCAGAGTGGGCACAGCAACTCACCACACTCTTAGCCCAGTCAGTACCGGGGAGCGTCGCACTTAGAGTACTGCCTCCCATCTTGACAAAGGTCAAAGGCTTTGCTGAGCAAGCATTCCCCTTCATCGTTCACAATGTGCTGGAATACGAGCTAGATCAGACCCAAGGGATGAAGCAGAAGCTTTCGGAAGCCTTGAAGAAATGGCTGGCCTCCACTTCACCAGCAGCCAGGGACAACCAGAAGCTCCTGATCAACACAATTCTGTACCTAAGAACACAGGCAAATCCAAATGAGACATCTATAGCAGATCGATTGCATTGGCTCGAGGTCAACTTCTCAACCGCCGCGGCCGCTGCTACGCGATGCGGGATGTATAAAGTTGCTCTGCTGTTCGCCGAGTTGGCATCCACTGAGATTACACGCCAGTCTCGCCGTTCGTCCGCGATTCAGGGACTCGGGGATACGAGCGAGATTTTGTTGGATATTTTTGAAAATATCGATGATCCGGATGCCTACTACGGCTTAACCCAGGACGCTTCGCTTTCGACTGTGTTAGCTCGTCTCGAGTACGAGAACGATGGGACCAAGAGCTTAGCATTTCGTGGAGCCCAATACGACAGTCACCTGAGGCGCCGGGATGTAGCTTCACAGCAAGACGGACAGGCGCTCATCAAGGCGTTGAGCAGCTTGGGTCTCGCTGGCCTGTCGAACTCTCTCCTTCAGACGCAACAGAGCCTGGACGGGTCCTCAACATCTCTTGATTCCACGTTCATCACAGCACGGCGTTTAGAGATATGGAATCTTCCTGCCCCGGCTGCGACCGAAAACTGGGCGGTAACTGTGTACAAAGCCTATCAGAGTATGCATCAAGCCTCTGACATCAACATGGTAAGAAGCGCGGTTCACGACGGTCTTACGAAAACTCTCAAACATCTCACAGGGAAAAGCCTGAACACATTGACACTGCGTCACCAGCTGGGTGCTCTCGCCACGCTGGTTGAACTCGATGATGTCCTGAACATTGGAGATCTTTCCGAGCTCAACGGCATCATTGAAGACTTCCAAGCGCGGTCCAAGTGGATGATGAGTGGGCAGTACGACGATGTCAGTCGGATCCTCTCGTGCCGGGAGACAACCTTGAGCCTGTGGAGTCAACGCCACAACCTTCGGCCAGCGAGGTTGACACCTGCAAATGCTCGTCTGGCGCAAATTCGTGGCATGCTGGTCTCTTCTGACATTTACCGGTTCCACCGTGCCACACAAGAAACATTGAACTTGTCTACCACACTCACAGATCTCATAAGACCGAGTGAACAAATGGGGCTTGCTGTCGACGCAGCAATTCGAATGGAGACTGCCAACTCGCTATGGGATCAAGGCGAGATGATTTCTTCCATTAGGATGCTGCAGAACATTGACAAAGAGTCCCCACTAGAGAAGCAAACCGTTCCTGTCAGCCGTTCTGATCTCTTGTCGAAGATTGGGTATCAGGTGTCGGTTGCCCGGCTAGAGAGTCCAGACACTATTCAGAAGAACTATCTCGAACCTGCGCTGAAGGAGCTGAAAGGCAAGAGTGAAGGAAAGGAAGCTGGCCGGGTTTACCACCAGTTCGCCATGTTCTGTGATGAACAGCTCCAAAACCCAGATGGCCTTGAGGATCTTGCTCGCCTCCAGAATCTTGAAAGGGGCAAGAATGACGAGGTTACACAGCTCAAAGCTCTTATTGCGAGCACCCGGGATTCGCAACTCAAGAACAAGTATTCTTCGCACTTGTCAAAGGCAAAGCAGTGGCTTGACCTCGATCAGCAGGAGCTCCGCCGAGTTGAACAGACTCGTTCTGAGTTTGTGAGGTTGAGTTTGCAGAACTACCTACTCTCTCTCGCGGCATCGGATGAGTACAATAATGATGCGCTCCGTTTTACAGCTCTGTGGTTAGAGTGCTCGGAGGACGACATGGTCAACGAGGTAGTGAAGAGGTACCTCAGCAAAGTCCCAACTCGGAAGTTCGCACCCTTGATCAATCAGCTATCATCGCGCCTACAGCATCAAGAAGGGCTCTTCCAGATCACCCTGATAGGATTGGTCTATAGCATCTGCCTCGACCACCCTTATCACGGCATGTACCAGATCTGGTCGGGAGTCAAAGCACGATCCATCAAGAATGATGAGGTTGCTTTGTCCCGACAGAAGGCGACGGATAAGATTGCCAGAGCCATCAAGAAGAGCGGTGTATCAGCCGCCAAGATCTATCTGGCGATTAACGCTACAAGCAAAGTCTACCACAATCTCGCCATGGACCGCGATGCGAAGAAATACAAGGCAGGTCACAAGATGAACATCAAGGACTCAAAAGCAGGCTTGGAATTTCTCGCCGCGTTTGCCGAGTTCCCGATCCCGCCGCCGACCATGCAAATGCCTTTACTAGCAAGCTGCGACTACTCCCAAGTACCGATGATCGTCAAGTTTGAACCCCAAATGTCTATCGCCTCAGGCGTCTCCGCGCCCAAGATCATCACGGCCATCGGCAGTGACGGCCGACAGTACAAGCAGCTTGTCAAGGGTGGCAACGACGACCTCCGCCAGGACGCCATCATGGAGCAAGTCTTTGCCGCCGTCTCGGAGCTACTCAAGCACCACCGCGCCACTCGCCAGCGCAACCTCGGCATCCGGACCTACAAAGTCCTCCCGCTCACCGAAACGACCGGCATCATCGAGTTCGTGTCCAACACCATCCCACTGCACGAGTACCTCATGCCCGCCCACGAAATCTACTACCCCAAGGACCTCAAAGGCTCGCACTGCCGGAAAGAGATCATGAACGCCCAATCCAAATCCGTCGACACGCGTGTGGCCGTCTACCGCAAGGTAACCGAAAGGTTCCACCCCGTGATGCGCTACTTCTTCATGGAATGGTTCCCCGACCCGGACGAGTGGTTCGCCAGGCGGACCGCCTACACGCGCACCACGGCCGCCATCTCCATGCTCGGCCACGTTCTCGGGTTGGGCGACCGACACGGACACAACATTCTGCTCGACACCAAGACGGGAGAGGTAGTGCACATTGACTTGGGCGTCGCCTTTGAATTGGGTCGCATTTTGCCGGTGCCGGAACTGGTTCCCTTCCGTCTGACACGGGACATTGTCGACGGCATGGGCATAACCAAAACCGAGGGCGTGTTCCGGCGATGCTGCGAGTTCACGCTGGACGCGCTGCGCGAGGAGACGTACAGTATCATGACGATTCTGGACGTGTTGAGGTATGATCCGCTTTATAGCTGGTCGATGAGCCCCCTCAGGATGGCGAAGTTGCAGAATGTAAGGGTGGGGGCGGGTGAAGATGACGTGGTAGAGGCAGAGGATGAGCGGCGGGCTGGATATAAGAAGTCGACGAAGAACCTCAATGAGCCTAGTGAGGCGGATCGGGCGTTGGAGGTGGTAAGGAAGAAGTTGAGTAAGACGCTGAGCGTGATGGCCACGGTGAATGATTTGATTAATCAGGCGACTGATGAGAGGAATTTGGCGGTGTTGTTTTGTGGTAAGTTGTCTACGCTTCATGGTTGTGAGTTAAATGTGAGAGAGAGAGATTGCTAACAGTGAGGTTATCTAGGTTGGGCTGCTTATGCTTGATAGGAGGAACATTAAGGGAAAACTACAAAAGAGGTACTCGCCAGGGCTAGAAGAGTAATGGAGAGGAAGTCCATATGATTTGTGGGCTTATATATGTCTATAGATATGGACGTGGAAACATCGAGATAGATCTGAGAGTCTTGTACTTGGTCATAATAGATTCTGTTTCTCTTGATAACCCAACTCATCAAATTTGACACGCCTCGTATTGTTTGATGCTTATGCTAATCATCATCATCCTCACTCTAAGTAGACGCTAGAGAAACAAGCCAAACAAAGCCTATGGTAGTATGCCATACGGATATGTACCAAACAGAAAAACTCCCCTATACACACTCGAATAAAAACACAAAAAGGGGGGGTATCTATCACACAACACGAGATTGGGAAGTCTCATCTTCCTCGTCATCATCATCTATAACGCCGTAAGTAATGCCCTTCCATCCATCCATTCCCTTGCTCATGCATTTGATGCCATCATGTCCTCGTTTAGCTATTTCCATCCGAGAGACCAACCAAACCGACGAGATGGGGGGGAAAAAACACCTTTCTTTGTTCTCTTCGTAACCACTTGGCTAGCTTTCTGCTGCTGCCTGGCCACCGACCACGTTTCTCCATCGTTCGCTGGCGTTTCGCTGGTGACTAGCTAACGACACAGCGGCGATTCCTCCATGCCAAACGCCCAAGCAATGTTTTATTCCTTCCCCTAGAATAGTAGAAAACTCTTCTTCTGTCCGAGCTGTATCCAGGAATAGCGAAGTGGGTAGCAACGTCTCAGCATGTAAATAAACTAGCGGCTGGGCTGGGCTGGGTTGGGCCTTTGGCTTTCGGTCTCTCGATAGCTAGTGCTCCAGGATCGTCGTGGTATGTAATAGATGGGCGCCTTTCACTGGTCTGCCGAAAGTTGTGCCTAATCCACAGGCAGGAAGTTGGATGCTTTGTTGTCATCCAAGTCATCCACGCTCTGAGCCGGTGCCGCCACCACTCATATGTGTAGTGAACTGGTTCAGGCATATGAAGATACCACAGGTCTCGGCTGCATCCCTGTACTTCTTTCCTTTCGCCCTTCCGCTATCATGCCATGCAAGTCACGATGCAGCCATCCGCAGCCCTCCAGTCCTTAAATGTCCGGACAAATACTCGTATATCGACAACCGCTTTGTCTGTCGCTGTCTTCGGCTGACAAAGTGGTGGGAGTGGTTTTCGTTATATCCGCTAACAGGGCTGTCATTGAGCGGCCCTCTTTCCCAAGCTCTTCTTGGTCACCAACTTCAATTCAAGTGGATAGTAGCCTTTAGCCTTCGTTGTCCACTTGCCGCCTATCGGGGCTTTATCAATCTTTTGACGACACACCGGACATGTTCGTTTGGTTGGATCAATGGTTAGGGCGGAATGGAGACATTCGGAGCAAAAGAGATGACCTAGTATTTACATAAAAATATGTTAGCCGTGAACAAACAGAGCGAAAGGGACGGGCAAGGGAGAGAAAAGCTTACCGCAATGCGTAACCGTCAAGCCCGTAACATTATCCATGCAAATGACACATTGGAAGGCGCTCAGCTTGATCTCGTTCTTGGGCCTGGGCTTCGCTCGCATACTTTCGGGCACCTCTTCCGTATCCGCCAAGTCGACCACATCCATGAAATTGTCGTCCCCGAACGGATCCTTTTCGTCGTCACTGGATAGCAGCACGTGCGCTTTTCGCTTGTGTGTCCTGATTTCTAGCCCTTCTTCTCTTTTCCGTTTAGGAGCCCCGGACGACTGAGGTGGAAGTGTGGGCAAGCTGACAATATTGTGAGAGGTGCCTCGGCTTCGTCGCCGAGAGCCCTCTGCGGCGGATTCATCCCTCCTCGAAGGCATGGTGTTGTTGTAATTGTTGCGTGAAGGAGAGAGAAGATCGCTAAGATGTCTCGGGGTCTGGGGTGGAAGCGAAGGGCTGGAAAAGTCTCGACTGGCAAGCTCGTTGAGAAAGTCGTCACTATTTGGTTCTCGATCGCTGCGGTGGGTGGTGACAAATAGACCAGGTGCGCGCGAGCCTGTGGCGAGGTTGGTGTTGAAAGCGGGGTCGGGGTTGTTGTAAAAGCTGGTTCCTCTACTGTCTGGGGTAGAAGAAGATCCAGAAAGCAGAAAAGAGAGCGCCGGTGGCAGCGGTCGAGGTGGTGGTAGGGCGCGTGAAGCCGGGGGCAAATAAGCGGCTTGAGATTGGCGGTTGTCGAGGTGACGGCCGGGTTCGGCCCGGGCTTGCGGGTGCGGACAGGGTAATGAGGTTCGCGGGGTTATGTAAGCGTTTGCTGGAGAAGACGCTTGGGGTTGAATTGAGAGTGAGTGCAGTATGTTTGTGGTTTGCCCAGGAATGTTGTGTGGGTGTTGTAGCTGGCCGTGAATTTGAGAATTGTCCGAGTTGGAGTTCGGATTCGGGGCCGGATATTGCTGCAGCAAAGGCGCCAAGGAAGGGAGCGACTGAGGAACAGGAACACCAGGGTTCGGGTGCGCTACGCTGGACAGCGGTGGTGGAAGAGCGTCCAGGTCCAGGTCTTTTTGTATAGGGCAAAGCGCCGCAACTTGTTAGACACACAGCTCAGACAATGTGGTAGGGTTATGAGTGGTGAAGGGGGGAAAGGGAGGTGTTTTCAGAAAAAGGTTTGGGGTTTTGGGGTCGGAGGTGGGAGAAGGTTGAAGCGCAGTAAAAAGTACCTGCAAAAATGTCGTCGTAGGCCGCATCACTCAAGGGGAAGTCGTCATCCATGGCCCCAAGGAAGGCTTGCCGGCAAGATGCCGGAACAAAAGGCAAAGGTTCGGGTAAGATATTGAATTGATGAAGATGGGAATTCCAACCCGTTCGTGCGGCGTTTGGTTTTGGTGGCGAGTGGACTTTGGGACGGTGGCCGTCCACTTTGCTCGCAATGTTCCAGCCAAACGAGAGTGACTGGGCTACGGACAATACCTAGGACGAAAGAAGGAAGCAAGGGCAGTCGCTAACGATGGTATATACGGAGAACTAAGAGCATAACGATCGGCATCAGTGCCGCAGAGATGAAATAGCATACACAGACTTAAAGGTAGAGGTAAGCCGTGTCGGAAAGGGGACAGAAGTCAGGTTAAGTGAAAGGAAGTGTTTGGCTAGAGGAGTTAAAGATGGATAAAATGGGTGGAAATCAGTTGACAACGAACAAGTCGGTACAGTAACATGGAGCTGAGAAATACGGGGAAGGTCCGCAGGAAAAGATGGATCCAGCTGAGCTCTACCACGTCTTGGATCATGTATGTACTTACTGAATGAAATCACTTTGGGCAGTGGAAGTTGCCATTGTGATGGGCGCGCGCCGTCTGCACACTCAAGCCACCGTCTTTGGTCAAACATGACGGCGGGAGAAGAAATGATGCCAAGTATGGAGTGCAAATGAATGCCCGCTGTCTACAAAGGAACTGAACGCTGGCGCTGTCATGGCGACTGGATTGATCTCTGCTAATCGTGGCTACCGAAGCAAATGTTAGTAGCGGATATGTAGGCCTGGTGTAAACTCCTAACAGATATCCAAGAGCGTAGCAAACTGTAGCTAAGAAAGCACCATTCCCACTCATCCGCTGACTGATGGTTGATCTTGGAACTTCCGTGACAAAGATAGAAACTTGTCATGCTTGATTGACAGTTTGATGTCCCACCAAAGATGCAAATGCGTGTAGCCGAGGTTCTGTCGGTGTCTTCTTTTTCGATCCCTGACACGAGCACAGAAGCTGTGAATACTTGTTCCACGGTAGGTAGGGTTAGGGGTGTATATGTGAAGCAAACCAGCTTAATCCTAACTCGAACCAAGTAGGTTATGCCTTTTACTCGCTTCATTGTGTGGATAATATGAAAATACAATCAGGCTGTATACTAGAAAGTCAGTTTTCTTCATTTTCAGATGCATCCAATTTTTACTCAGTATCGGGGCCGAACCCATCCTCGAGCCATCCGGAGCCATCCGGAGATGTGGGCCCATCCGGCATCCGGTAGCGGGGTCTTCTCGGGCCGGAGCCAAGAGTGCAGACCGGGGACGGGGAACTAATGGGGGCCAATGACGTTTCCATTTGCTGTCTAGGCCAATCGGCGAGAACCGAACAGGGAGACCGAAGTGGATCGACACTAACACGATCACGGACTTTTTCCTTTCAGGATCGATTTGTCATAAACTCCATGATGCTCTCCAACGCCGTGCTGACTAGCGATCTGGACTCGATCGTCAAGGGCAGTGTCATCATGACACTTCTATCTGAGATCATCAGTTGGTTACCGACCTGAAGCGCCATGAGCATGTTTACATGTTTTCGTCAGCAAGGTGCTTCGCATTCCATCTTCGTTTAGCGGGCAGCCCCGCTATCTGACCCTTGAATGGTGAGAGACCCGTGCAAGTGAGTCTAGCCCAACAAGACTGATTGAGGAACTCAAACCCAAAGTAACAGAAGCAATCGAAGCTCAACTGGACAGGATCTCAAATGAAAATAGAGACAAGATACAATGCCCACGTGTGAGTGTGGTGACGAGCTGATCAAAGAGTGAGAGGGCGGTACTTGGCTGAGCTTGGGTACATGGGTATATGCTAGTTAGTGTGCCTCTACACTAACTGAGGGGCCGGGATCCCAATTGGCGTGGACTGGAACTTTTTTGAACTTTTTTTTTTTTTGTTTCCTGCGAATGCCCATGACATCGATGATGGATTCGGTCGCCGCCCCGCAATCGATCTCAAACCACCACTTCGATATCCACCACAATTCAGTCTCTATAACCAGTCACCGTGGCGTATCACCACTTTCCAGACTGAAAACACGCAGCCTACCATGACTTGATATCCGACTTCCAGCTGGTGATTATCTAGAATGCTGACCCCCGTCCGATGCCGGACGGTACCAAATGCGACTGTTGCGACCGCCGCCCGACTCCTCCGTCGAGCCAACCTCTTTTCCCGATATCCTCGACAGCTAGGACACCTACGATGGGACTCGACCATCGCCCAAGTGCTCGAGCGCAAGGGCCTCGGCATCCCCTCCACAGCGCGCCATAACGAGATCGGTGTCCAGCAACTGAGCGAGCACCTCTACAAGCAGCTTTTCCCCCGCGGAAACACCGACCCTCCTGCTCCCGAACTCATCGAGCTGGCCAAGGACCACCTTGCCCGCCACGACTTGCTGGGCAAGACCACCGATAAGACTCCTCCTATCGCCTTTCAACTACCTGCCTTGGTGGGCGATACCCTCGACGAACACTTCCACAAGCTGGGCGTCGACGCCGCCGAACCCTTCCTTACCCATGCCAAGCAGTTCGCAGACGCCCATTTACCCCCCAAGCCGACGAGTTGGGTACGGAGGAGTGGCTGGACAAAATACAACCGCGATGGCACGACCGAGAACGACGTCCTGCCCCAGGGCAACATGATGTGCTTCGATGTGGAGGTCATGTATAAGGATAACCCCTATGCTGTCATGGCATGTGCTGGTACTCCGGATGCCTGGTATGCTTGGCTGTCGCCGTGGCTGCTTGGAGAGACGGAAAACAAAGCACACTTGGTACCAATGGGCGATCCAACCGTTGACAGAATCATCGTGGGTCACAACATTGGCTACGACCGTGCCAAGATACTGGAGGAATACGACCTGAAGCAGACGAGGAACTTCTTTCTTGACACCATGTCTCTGCATGTTGCTGTGAACGGAATGTGCTCCCAACAACGACCGACGTGGATGAAACACAAGAAAGCCAGAGAACTACGGGAGAAGGCAGAGCATGAAAGTGCCAGTGTAGAACTGCAAGAAGTCTTGCAGGGCGGTTCCCTCACGGCCGAGGAGGCCGACCTCTGGGTCGACAAAAGCTCCATCAACTCGCTAAGAGACGTGGCCCAGTTCCACCTCAACGTTAAGATCGACAAGGATATCAGGGATGTCTTTGCGGAAACAGATCGAAATGTGATTCTGAACCAGCTGGACGATCTCCTGACTTACTGTGCGGCAGATGTTCAAGTCACCCACCAGGTTTACCAGGTCGTCTTCCCTAACTTTCTCGGAGTCTGTCCTCATCCCGTCAGCTTTGCCGCTTTACGCCACCTCGCCTCCGTCATTCTGCCCGTCAACAAGACTTGGGATACTTATATCGAGACAGCTGAGGCAACTTACCTGCAAATGTTACACGGCGTTCAGGAGCGCCTTTTCACTCTGATGGAGAGGACGCTGGATTATAAGGCCGACCCTGAAAAATATCTTTCTGATCCTTGGTTGAGCCAACTAGATTGGTCAGGACAGGAGATCAAGATGGCCAAGCCCAAGAAAAAGGGCGACGTGGAACGGCCAGCCCTGAATCAGAAACTGCCAGGCTATCCCCAATGGTACAAGGATCTGTTTATAAAGGTTCCCAAGGAGCTCTCGGGCTTGGACGAACCCGACAAAGAACAGGAAAATAGAAAGGCTCGACATGATTTCATCAATCTCACCGTCCGTTCACGGATAGCCCCGTTGCTCCTCAAATTATCATGGGAAGGCTACCCCTTATTCTGGTCCGATCAATTTGGCTGGACGTTCCAGGTCCCACGAGAAAAAGCAGAGACCTTTATTCAGCGACAGATGACACCTGTTCAATTTGAGGACCCAGATGTCGATGATCGACTTAGGATGGATTTTGATCACAAGTACTTCAAACTTCCTCACAAAGATGGCCCGAACGCTAGATGTGTCAACCCAATGGCCAAGGGTTATCTTCCCTACTTTGAAAAGGGCATCCTTTCTTCCGAGTACCCCTACGCAAAGGAAGCCCTGGAAATGAATGCTTCTTGTTCATACTGGATCAGTGCTCGAGAGAGAATCAAGAACCAGATGGTTGTCTATGAAGATCAACTTCCTCCGTCTCAGAGATTTGTCAACAAGGATGCAGACAGCAACACCCCTATTGGCGGCTTTGTTCTTCCCCAGGTCATTCCTATGGGTACCATTACTCGTCGTGCGGTCGAGAGAACATGGTTGACGGCATCCAATGCCAAGAAGAACCGTGTTGGATCAGAGCTCAAAGCCATGGTTCGCGCACCACCAGGTTATGTCTTTGTCGGTGCCGATGTTGACTCGGAAGAACTTTGGATTGCCTCTGTTGTTGGAGACGCCACTTTCAAACTGCATGGTGGTAATGCCATCGGCTTCATGACCCTTGAGGGTACCAAATCCCAGGGCACTGATCTCCACAGTCGGACGGCTTCCATTCTGGGCATCACCCGTAATGACGCAAAAGTGTTTAACTATGGCCGTATCTACGGCGCCGGTCTTAAGTTCGCATCTCAGCTTCTCCGGCAGTTCAACCCTAGCTTGACCGAGGCGGAAACGACTGCCATCGCGACAAAGCTCTACGATGCCACCAAAGGTGCTAAAACTAACCGCAAGAGCCTTTACAAGCGGTCCTTCTGGCGAGGCGGTACCGAGTCCTTCGTGTTTAACATGCTTGAAGAGTTTGCCGAGCAAGAGCGTCCTCGTACCCCCGTTCTCGGTGCGGGCATCACAGAGGCCCTCATGAGCCGATGGGTCAGCAAAGGCGGGTTCCTGACTTCGCGTATCAACTGGGCCATCCAATCCAGTGGTGTCGATTACCTTCACTTGCTCATCATCGCTATGGACTATCTCACTCGCCGCTTCAACCTCGCCTGCCGGTTGGCCATCACTGTGCACGACGAAATCCGCTATCTTGCCGAGGAACATGACAAATACCGGGTAGCCATGGCACTGCAGATTGCCAACCTGTGGACTCGTGTCATGTTCGCGCAGCAAGTCGGCATTCAAGATCTTCCGCAGTCCTGCGCCTTCTTCAGCGCTGTGGACATTGACCACGTGCTTCGGAAGGAGGTCGACATGGATTGTATCACGCCTAGTAACCCGATACCCATTGCGCACGGCGAGAGCATCGATATCTTCCAGATCCTGGAGAAGGGAGACGAAGCAAAGCTGGATGAGAGCATTGTCCCTGAGTCTCAATATGCGCCTCGCCTGGAGGACATTCCGTATACGCCTCGTGTGCCTGTGATGCAGAGGCTCCGCGAGAGGGCCGAGGCCGGCGATCACCAAGCCTTCCTTCGGTTCATACGAGCACAGATTACCAATTCCGATGAGGAGCTGAAGAGGATCATCGCAGAGACGAGGTATAGTGACCCATATGGTGCCTATTCCCTGGCTTCGACTGGAAGAGTATCAGGCAACCCACATCAGCGGCATGCCGCTGTACATGCTTTGACAAAGACGGCTGCGGCTCCTTCAAAACCTTCCATCGCAAGCCGTTTAGATTCTGTCTCAGGCGCAAAAAAGACGGCTGCGGCTTCTTCCAAAGCTTCCATCGCAAGTCGTTTTGATTCCGTCTCGCAGGCATCGAGGATCAAGTCCGTCGCAGCTGGCATTGATGAGCCCACCATCAGAGCGACCAAAGCGCAGGGCAAAGCCATGGCAAAAGCCAGTGGTGCAAAACTTGCTGCCTCCACGAAGGATACCGTCCCCAACGTAACGATCAAGAAGAGGGTGGCGGCCCCCGAGATGGCGGCTGTTCCGTCAACCTCTTCTGAATCTAAGTCCAATGCTTCAGCCACAACGACCACGGCAACCACCGAGAACGCCACCGCATCCCCTTTATCCTCATCGAACGTCGATGCGAAGAAAACCACATCCCAAAAAACCAAGCCAACCCACAAGAAGGAGATCAAAGAGGAACCATTACCCTCCCTTGACGACCCCGTCATCGCCGCCCGCCTCGAAGCCGTCTCTAAGACTTCACCAGGGACCAGGGCTTCCGTCGCCGCGAAGCTAGACGCCCTTGCCTCCTTTTCCATGCGGGCTGCTGCGGCTGCTGAGGCTGCTGCCACCACCACCACCACCACCACTACTACTACTACTCCAGAGCAGCCAGCCGTCCCTCCTGCCGTTGCTCCCAAGGCAAAGGAACCCACAACCACCATGGCAGAAAAGGCCTTGAAACCTACCGCCGCCCCCAAAAGCCCCACTCCTACTCTCATGCCCACAAACAAAAAGTCTAATCCCACATCCACACCAACCACACCAAAACCCGTCGGCCGTCCCCGCACCACCCCCATCCTCCCCTACACCGCTCCAAAGAAAAAGTTGCCCTCGAGCGCGTTCTCCAAAGAGCAAAAGGAGCCCATGTCGGTGTCGGAGGCTGTATGGACTGCGAGTGTTGGTGGTGGTGCTACGATTACTACGGCGACGACAACGGATGATGAAAAGAAGAAGAAGACAACGACGGCGACGACTCCAAGCTGGAAACCGGTGAAAGAGAGTTTGTTCGGGCGAGGGGTTTATATTCCTTGAGTAACGGTTAGCGTAGCCTCGAGTAGGGCATTGCATACCTTGGTGAGTGAGGGAGAGAGAGAAGAGAAGGAGAAGGGGAGTAAATGTATGAATGATTATGGTCGATAACTATATAGGAGTTGTATCTGGGGAGTACTTGTATCTTGGGGGCAGCAGCAGCAGTCGCAGCAGTGTGAGAATTAGCATCTTGGCATCTTGGGCCTGGGGTGGTTATTTTGGATTTGACATGCTGGGAGTGGGAGGAGTTGTGTAGTGTATGTAGCATATGTTGTATCTATATCTGTATCACATCACCCTTTCTGGTATTGGGCGTCTAGTGTCATGTATTAGGAGTGACTGGCTTGGTTTCGTAAGAGACTATTTTCTCCTTTGGAGCATATGATGTAGACCGTAACCAGTTACTGAAAGTTCTTGTTTGCCATGCGTTGATTCCACACGACATGATCTTATCTGGTGTAATCGGTAGTTGGGTTTATCGGTATGGGAGATGATATATCTCGATGTCACCACGGATGGCTAGATATTCGGTCGATGAAGCAAACTACGTCGGTATAGATGAGAATGAGATTATACAGCCTCGATGCTGTTTTCTCAACGGGTGTTAACCTCACCCCCATAACAGAAGACACTCACTTACACACAACAGGTAGGTAACATAACACACGTTTTGGTAAAACATTTCCTATCGCCTGGTCTAAAACCTAACCTAACCTAACCTAACCTTATTACCTCAACGCGGATGCGGATTGGAGCCAGCAGCTGCTTATGAACGACGATCGAACCCTCAAAAACCATCGTTCCCTTTTGTTTCCCTGGAAATATAAAAAGAACAGTAATAATAAAAAATAGAAAAAAACAAAGAGGGAAATAAAAAACAAGACTACCAATCCCCTTTACTTTTCTGACCGCAAATTGTTGCAATGACGACTGCAATACTTTCAGACTGCCCCAACCTGCCAACCTGCCAACCTGCCAAACCATAAAGCAGTTACAAACGAGGAAACTATTTGGGTATACTTTCTTCCACTCGCCCTCTCTCTCTCTTCATTTTCTTCCATGCGCCGCCATTGTCCTCCGCCCTCACCCAAGTCTAGTGCGGCAAGTTAGGCAAAGGCCTCGGTCCCACAACCGGCCTCTTTCCCGCTCCAATCCCCTGGCTCCCCCGATTCTGCGAATCACCACCGGTAAACCCAGCCCACTGGCCGACATCCCACCGTCCACCGATACCTCCGCCGATTCCGTTGACTCCGTCATCCGAACGGACCGCCTTGGCCGTCTCCTGCTGCGCCTCCTCCCACTCGCGCTGACGCTGGCGCTCGAGCTCCATCTCCCGCTCGAGGAGGGAGAGAGCAGCGAAACCTCCTCCTCCTCCTCCGCCGGTCTTTTGGGTGGGCGAGTAAGGAGAGCGGGGCTTGCTGAAGGGGGATTTGTTGTTGTTACCGTGAGGTTGAGGTTGAGATGGAGTGACGGCTTGTTGCCCGCGGCTTGGCAGGGGGCGGTTGCTGCCGGTATGGTTGGGGCGGATGGGGAGGGCGGGGCCTAGACCGTTGTTCTCCTTGCCACCAGTTCGCTGAGCAGTAAGCTTCTGAGGCGGCGAGAGCATGGGGTTCGCTGGGATTGGGAGCGGCCTGGACGGCGAGGTGGGGTCGGGTAGCGGGCGCGGAGAGAGGCTTGCGCGTGGGGAGCGGATGGGGCTGTCGAGGTAGCCGTCTAGGATGTCCTGCACCAGAGGCGACGGGGGTCTGCTAGAAAACCGCCGCTCGTCGCGCGGCTTCCACGAATCCTGCCTGCTGATGGGCCGAGCAGGGCGGCTGTGCGAGCGCTGCTTCTCGTCCGAGTCGTCGCCGCTGCTGACGCCGAGGCGACGGGAGCGTTCCTGGCGCTCGCGCTCGTACTCGGCCTCTCGCCTCCGGGCCTTCTCAAGTTCCCGCTCGAGCTCTCTTATCCGCTCCTTGTCTCGGGACTCTTCGGCCTGGTAATGGCTGAGTAGCTGACCGCGCAGTCGGGGATCACTCCTCTCACGGGTATGAGTCTGGGCCTGGTGCTGTACCTGCTTTTCGGCGGCGCGCTTCTTCTCCTCCTCCTGTTTCAGCTCGGCTTGCAGTCGTCGCTCGGCCTCCTCTTCCTCCTTGCGTCGCCTCTCCTGGTCGAGCTTCCACTGACGTTCCTCCTCTTGCCAACGCCGTTTTTCCTCCTCGAGCCGCTTGCGCTCCTCCTCGTGGGCCTTGCGGGTCTCCTCCTCCCACCTACGTTCCTCTTGCTGACGAGCGCGCTCCTCCGCAGCCTCCATCTCAGCCTTCTTCCGCTGTTCCTCCTCCACGCGCTTGCGTTCCGCCTCGGCCTCGGCCTCCTTGCGCTTTCGCTCCTTTTCTTGTGCGCTAGGCACGTGCGGGGCAGCAGTAGTGATCTGCCGACGACCGCCGAAAGAAACGCCCATGGTGCCTTGACTCGCACCGCCCATGTACCCATACTGGGCAATGTTCCAGGCCGGGGACGTGGTGCCCTCGTGGTTCTTGTTGCTCCAGCTGCTGACGCTCCCCGAGACAGAGGGGGTGGTGGCACTGAGGGTTGGAGACTTGGCGCCCCATCTGCTGCTCGATACCGAACCTCCCGTCTTCTGCGCAACCAAGGGCGATGCCGTGGGTTGGAGAGACGACCCAAAGGATGAGCTGAAGGATGAAACGGTGGCATTGCTGGCGGTCGAGGTGTTGCGCGCAGGAAGACCTGGGCTCTTCAAGGGGCCGCCACCGGTGGGCTGGGGACTGATCACCTTGGTGGTGTTGTGAGCATTGACTTTGGGACCGATGACAGCCGGGATTGCCTCGGGGTTGGCGGCGTTGGCAGCCCGGCTAAAGGCACCGATACACTGAAGTACCTGTGCGGGGTCTTTGCGCTCGTAGAGATCGACAGTCAGGAAAACGTCGTGCTCGAGCAGGTTCAGCGGGGGGGCCTTGCACGATCGCAGGAAGATGGAGATGTTTTCCATCTGGACGAAGGGCATGGCCGACTGCTTGAACTTGACGCCGGGTGGTGGCAGCACCTTGTTGACGAGCCTGAACAGGCCTAGGGGTTAGTCTGTTTGATAAGGACAGGCAGGTTAGGAAGACAGAAGGTTAAGAACTCACTTGCACAGAGCGACGCCATCCTTGAGGGCATCGAGCAAGTCGGGCTGGGGCAGCTTCTCGCCGATGACGGACTCGATCCAGGACTTTGCCTCGCCGGCGGCCTGGGGCGTGTACTTTTCGGCGCGCAGCTTGCGCAGGTCCTTGTCCAGCGAGGTGACGGAAGCCATGGTGTATCTCTGCTTGAGGCGCGTGTTCCAGTTGCACCAGAAGACGTCGGGGAAAGGGTCAAGACTATTCACCGGTGTCCCAAGGGGAGGCGTGAAGTGTTTGGGATAAGGACTGGAATCCAGTTGGGAGATGGGGCCTTGGAGTTGTCGGGTCACTTTGGCGGCCGGAAGGGGGACCAGGTTCCAGGGTCATGTCAGGCCCAAAGCTGGGAACAGGGACGGGATCCAAGGTTGGCCAGGGGATGGGAGAGCAAGAGCGCAGTGTGTCTCTAACCGGATCTTGGATCACCAACAGGGATGTGGTCCAGATGAGCTTCCAGAACGGGCAATCTCGTGGAATTGGGGCGAATAGAATAATCTGGGTGCGCAATTCCCGCCTATTCCTCGCTGCGGATACTATGTATCTTGTTATTTCCTCAGAGGCGAAAAAAAAAGGGTTTCGAGTAGTCAGAGACGGGTGGTCGTCGTCGAAGGGGAGGGGGAAAAAAAGGATGCAAAGAGGGGCAGAGAAATTGGCAGAAGCTCGTATTATGTGTTTACACAGGCGTCGGCCGGGTTCTCGAAATTGCGACCAATCTGACCCGAGATTGATTGGGATCCTCTCTCTTGACGGACCTTGGAGATTTGTGTCGTTTCTTCTGCTGAATGGATGGTTCGCGCTGGCAGGTCCGGTCCAGTGCGTTGTTCGATAGTCACCATGGCACGGGCACAAAAAAAAAAAGAGTCGTTCTCTCCAGTCCCTGGCCGTCAATGAATCACCTACTGCGACCCAAGACTCGGACGATCCGTAAGCTGGCTGTAAATTAGCAGTCCACTATTGTCCGCAGGTTTTTGACAGGGAGCTACAGGGGACGCCAGCGCCGCCCTAATTGCGATACCCACTATCCCACTCTGCCGGGCGCTGTGTGAATGTGTGATTGTAAGCTGGCCCCGGGGGACCCCGCTCGCCTACGCAATCACACATGAACGGTAGGTAACCTGCTCCTGCACACCAGCCACAGGGCAGCCAGCTTGTGTTGCGCTGCTGCGCAGATTTACACGTGGCTTGATGCCATGCGTCTTCCCATGTCGGCAGTCTGTGGCTCGGTCTAATCCCGGGCTGTCGTGCAGCAGCGGCCAGCGGGTGGTGGTGACAGACGGGTCCATCCCGCAACTTTTAGCGTCGCCGCCGTCGCTTTCCACTCATCCATCACTGGCGCGGGCGGCACACACACTGGACTACTGGACTGGACTGGTCACAGGCACTCCGCGGGGCCGACGTCACTTCTTCCATACCAAGACCAAGATTCTCCTCATGATCTGATACACCCGCTCAACGGTCCGCAGCGACCAACCCGACTCTTCCATTCACCCACCCCCTCTCTATGGTACGGGCACTAGCTCCTGGCTCTCACTCTCACTCTCTCTCTCTCTCACTCTCGTCTCACCCCTTGCACATCACCCGATACTACAGGGCGCATCTACAGATCGACGTCCGGCAATCTCATGTCGCTCAACCTCGGGACCATTTCCCCCTTGAAGCGGGCATGGTACAAGTGGAAAGCCATCAAGTTTCCATGGCGTAATAAGCTTCTTGTCGGTAAGAACTGGGAACCAACATAAACACATGAGCATCCCCCTCCCCCCTCCCCCCCCCCCTTTCCCCTGGCCCTGCTTGTCTCGGTCACGCCGTAGATCGATGACATAGGCGCTTTCATCCTTGGGGGATCCTCCGGCCAAGAAGTCCTTCATTTTTCTATCATTTACCTTTTTTTTTCTCAACTCCTGGTATCTCCTTTCTCATCACCATCCTCACAAGACATCTCTTGTCGTCTCTTGGTCACTCAACCCCTTTCTTTCTTTCTTTTTTCTTGCTTTCTTCTCACTTCTGTCCCCCCTTCTTCCCCTTCACCATGACTAACCCTAGACAGGCCTCGACCTAGCCGGCAATGCCTACTATCAGTTCCGCCCCACTCGCTCCACCATCCGCTGGCGCCGAATAGTTCAGTACCCAGGCGGTCGCAGCACACACTTCAGTGACGTCGCCGTTCCCCCCTCCTGGCACCAATGGCTTCGATATACGCGGGAGGACCCACCAACGATAGAGGAGCAGGAGGCCGAAGTGGCTCGGCAGCAGAGGATCAAAGTGCTGGCCAAGATGGCGGACGAGAAATGGGAGGCCAAGGCCAAGTACATTCCGGATTCGCCAGGAGAACCTTCAACCAGGACCATTGGAAAGCCAGGCGAGGAATATGGGCAGCCGCTTCCGCCTCTGGTGGGAGAGGGTATGAAGAAGAGCAGCCCCTACACAGAGGGGACAAGTGGAGGGGTTGTGAGCGGTGTTGAGACCAGCGGTGTCAGCAACCAGGCCGTTTTTGGGAGCGAAGAGGCGAAGCAGGCTGCAAAGGAAGAGCAGGAGAAGCCCAGGGCGACGGTCACGCAGACGGCCACGACGACTACTCCTACCAACACAAGCTCCGCCACAGCACATGCGACGCCAGCAGACCAAACGAGCGGAGCAAGGGAACATACCTGGGATCAGATGATGAAGCAGCAGAAGCAGCACAAGAAAAAGGGTATCGATCCATGGAAGCAGGCTCAGGCCAGTAATCCCAGTGGGGAGTGGCAGCCCAAGGCGTGGGATCCGACGGCGAGTTTGGGCAACAAGAAGGGGTGATTTAGATGCTTTCTTTGTCACTTGAGAAGTCATGCATTGGAACAAAAGGCGAAAGGGGCTCTGGATGTTCCAGTCATCCAGCCCTTCTATGAGTCTATGAGTTATGGCGCATGATAAAAAAAAAAAAGAGGGGACACAGATACCTCTGAGGGGGCACAGAGACCTCCTGCCGACGACTGAATTCGTTTTCCCGTTATCTGATAGCGTCCTAGTCGCTTTCATTTTGACCCAAACATGTGCATAGTGTACCTATTTTGTTCAAGAACAATAGAGAGAGAGATCGCGAGGTTGACAACATTGTTCAAAACCAGGCCTGGAAGCAGTTGTAGAGAAAAGAGTAGAGGATCATCACCACTATAGAATGCTCAAAAGAGTTAGATATTTCACTTCAATGAGTCTTCAGTTTACAAAGCCATCTGAAAAGAATATGAATTCGTTTATTCCCTGTCAGAGTGAAAGGAAAAGGAACAGAGAATGAGGACAAGGTGAAGGTGAAGGTGAAGACAAGACAATAGAGCTCTGACAGCCAAGACCCACTGATGGGAGCAAGCTCTGGCGCTAACTCAATTCGGCTACAGGTAGTAGTATGTACGTACCAAGATACCAGGCCACCCGCTGTGCTTCATCCCGTGACTGCGCATTTGGTGTGAATCTGGGAGCCCCGCTGTCGTCGCGCTCGTTTGCATCGGACCAAATCAAGCGCGTCTCTCTTTTCCCACTCTTTTCCAACTTTTGCTTTCTTTTTGTTCCACACCTTTCCCCGAATTTCACACCACCAAACTCTGTACCATTGCCACCTATCATTTTTGGTTACAGAGAGGGTAACAGAGCTTCGGGGCCCAATCCTCACGCCATGGCGGCCTCATCGCCGCTCACAGATCTCGACGGCACATCGACGCCGGCCTCTTTCCACACAGCCGCCAACTCCCCCATCGCTGCCGATACCACCAACATCACAAGTCCCGACCACGAAAATGACCAAAAGCCCGGGTACTACAAGTGCAAAGAGATTCCCCATGTCCTGAAACAGTCCTGCCAGATCCATCTCGAAGAGCAAATGTACCTCCCCGCAATCGAACTACTCGGAAGTCTTCTCAGCGATGCCGGTGAAAGGCAGCAAACAGACAAACCCGTCCGAGTACCTCCTCCTGCCCAGATTGCTCTGCTCGGCACCCTGACCATCCACCCTGCATACACATCCCGGGCCCCCGAGCAGACCAACCTCGACATCGCTGCCGAATCGCGCGAATACCTCCGTACCCTCCTCAACAAGGTTGGACCCATAAATGCCGACTTCCGCTCCGCATTTTCGTTTAGACAAGGGCAAAGCAGTGGCAGATGGGCCCGCAGAAACTCGCGAGAATTCAACAGCCCTGGCGAAAGTGACGGCGGCGGCAGTATCGGCAGTTTTAGCGAGGCGGATAACATTGAGAGCAAGTGGTCTGGAAATGACCACAGTATATGGAGAAGATCATCGGATTTCTGGTCCGTCTTGGGCTGGGCGTTCCGATGCAGCACTACACATGCGCATCGTTGGGTACACTGGAAGGCATGGCTGGATTTCATGATTGAGTGCCTTGAGAAGGACTGGGATGAGCGGCTTGCGCAGGATCAGGCCAACTTCCAAACAGAAATCAACAATAGCAGCGACAGCGAGTCCCATGCTCAGTGCCAGTACCCTTTGCTGAAGCAAAGTCTGTTTGTCCAATACGTGGATGACCTACGACGGGATAGGAAGAGGGTACTCCATGAAGTTATTCGCGCATTGTTAGCGTTTGCCGATGACGAAAACTCCGCGGACAATACCTACTACAGAGAGGTGTTCAACAAGGAGACAGTCCTCCACACAGACAAAAGCAACAAGCGGAAACACTCGCAAATGACCGCCGTCGACTTGGAAAACGACCAGTTCGGCGATTACCTCGAAGACTGGGACGACCCGGTCACCGACGACGACGATAACAAAGCAAACGCATTCCACACCCCTCACCATCCATCCGGCCGAACAGGCCGACGAACGAAAGGCCGACCAAAATCTACCCCTTTCTCCAAACCCGGCAAGGCCTTTGACGTCTCCCCCGCATCGACGCCCAACCCCCTGCGCGTAACCGACGGCCTAGCGGACTCGATACCTCTCCGATTGCGTCTCTTCCGCCTCATCTCGGGCTGCGCCTACTATCTCCCACACGACGTTCTGTGCAAGACCCATGAGCTCTACGATCTCTTTACATTGCGCCTCAAATCCCTGCCCCTCGCCAGTTTCGAGCTCTTTCTCTCCCTCGATCACATCGACTTCGCCCTCCCACGCTTCATCTACGTCTCCCTCCTGCGCTATGTGGCTCAGTCGTTCACACCCCGCAACGCTCCGCAGCCTGAAAACGCCGACCCGGAAGCCGAAGCCGACCACGCCATCAGCCAGACGATACTTAGAGAGTGTTTTCTGCCGTTTCCGGCCAAGACGGTCACCGTGGAGGATAATGCCAAGTTTAGCCTGGTGCTGGAGAGCATGGCGTGGTGTCTATTTCAGTCCGGGAGTGTTGATTATTCTGATGAACTAAAGTGGGCGGTGGAGAAGGGGATTGAGGAACGGGAGAAGAAGATCAAGAAGGCGGGTGGGAGGGGAGGAGGAGGAGCAGCTATGACGGCTGCGGAGAAGATGGGGAGGCAGGTATTGGAGAGGAGTGCGGCGTCATTGAGGACGTTTGTCGACGCAGTTGAGACTTTGAGTTTTGCGGAGGATAGGGTAATGGGTACTGGGGATGAGATGGATGAGGATTCTATCCTGGTGGGCAGCCCTTAGAAGTGGCGGGTCCCGTGAGTGACAATGGGTCTGCTGATTTCTGGGGTTTGGCATGTTTTGGAGCTGGTGTTTGGCGGCGCTCTACTGCACAGCAAAAATGATTTAGCGCTCGATGATGGGTTTTGGCGGTTACATATCTGTTCACACATTTTGTTATATGATACCCCCTCAGCTTAGGACTGGAAGTGTGTGTTTTGTTGCAAGCGTACAAGATTAATATGTAAGAATATTTCCAGTCCATTCACAAACGAGTGGTTGTATTGCCTTGGCTACTGTTGCTATCTACATCGGAATCCCATCATTGAATCCATGACGGATCAAGGGTTAGGGTTCATGTACCCCTGATATCCGTACCCCGCTGAAACGTAACCGCTGTGGAACTCGACGGCCACGACCTGTGACAGCTCGACCACCTTGACAACCTCCGTCTGGGGATAGCTTCAGATCTTCCAAAGCACCACAGGCGAACAGATCAAACATCTACAGACTTGGGCAACCATACCATAAGCTGCCACGACCACGTATCCATCTAATACTTAATATCTTTCTCTAATGGCGCTTATAACATAGTTCTCCTTCCTCTTCATTCGCAAGCTCGAACCATCTGTTCCCGTCATCACCCATTCGAAAGTTCGAACGATCAGCTTTGACCGCCCGCGCATTCGCCAATCCTGATAACTAAGACGCGCAATTCCACCCCCTCTCCCAGTAAACCGACTACAACATTGCGACGGTACAACAGCAAACAACCATCACCACAATGGCGAACCACCCAATCCCCGACCTCTCCACCCTTCTCTCCTCCGCCCAAATCTTCTCTTCCAACTACCCCCTCCCCCACATCCGCGCCATCCACAAGGCCCTCCATGCCGAGATCGACGACAAGCAGTCGCGCCTGCGCACCCAGGTCGGCGGCTCCTACCGCGAGCTGCTGGGCACTGCCGACACTATCGTGCAGATGCGGGGCGACATGGAATCCGTGCAGGCGACATTGGGGCGCATGGGTGGAAGGTGCGGCAGGCAGGTGGTGAAGGAGAAGATGGATGGACTCAAGAAGTGGGATGAGAGCGAGGATATGCACAACACGAGCAGAAGGGAGGCGGCGAGGGTCAAGATTCTGGAGGGGTGTGTGTTGGCTGTCCAGAAGTTGTTGAGACGGGAGGAGAAGGCCGCGGGGAGGGATACTAGGAAGATGAGAGGAGGGAAAGTGGAAGAAAAGGAGGCAGTAATGTCCAAAGGGGATAAACTGCTTGTTGCGGCGAAGGTGTGCGTGCTTGGAAGACTGCTGGTTAAGACTTTTGAGCGGGAGGGCATTCATACCGAAGCGTCGAGGACGGCGGTCAAGTCGGCTGATAGATCGTTGACTGTCCTTCGCGATAGACTCCTCCGGTGTATCGACAGCGTGCTGGTGAGCGTCAACGAGAAACTCACGCCGCGCAGCGATCTCCTCAAGGCGTTGAGCGCGTATAGTCTGCATACCAGCTCTGGAGCTCGGGACACTCTTCGCCACTTTCTCGACGTCAGGGGGAGTGCACTGTCGCTGTCCATCAACAACAACAACAACTGGGAGGGACAGCAGTCAGCGGCAGTTCGAACACCCAAGGACATCCTCAGACGGCTCAACCTCTACGCCAAAACATTGCAAGACGTGCAAGCCCTCACACCCAACAAGCTCGCGGACGCGCTTAACGGACTTAAGAAGAAGGCGCTCCTGGCAGATGACGCCCTCCGCGCCATCGAGGGTCTCCGGCTGGATATTTACTCGTGCTGGTGCGGCGACGAAATCCGGTATTACACGCCCTTCATCCGGCACGACGATCTGCAGGCCGAAAGCGTCAATGGCCTGCTGTCCGAATGGGCCCCCGTGCACCGCGACGTTTTTATTGATGACCTCGACAAGACCGTCAAGTCCATGAGCGAATTCAAAGCCATCGTCGACCTGCGCACCTCCGTCCTCCGCCTCTGGATCGCCGAGAGCTCGCGCGTCCGGTACGATTTCGCCTCCAAAGACGACAACGACAGCTCGCCTGACGGCATCCCCATCAGCACCTCCATGTTCAGCCAAATCCGCACCACCATCAACAACCACCTGCTCTTCGTGATCGACACCAAAGTCCACAAGCTCCGTCTCGTCGGCTCCGAAGCCTCGGCCGCTCTGGCCGCCTGGCGCGAGGGCACCACGGACGCGCACCTCTCTCTTTGGGACCCGTCCGCCTTTTCAGGTATCGACCTCACCATCCCCTCTGGTGGTCCCTCTGGCAGCGGCGGCGGCGGCGGTGGTGCCGCCCAGCAATTCGCCTCCGAAGTGATCTCCCGCCTCTACGGGCGTAACGACGCCGTCTCCAAAGCCGTAGCCTCTTACAAGTCCTGGTTCCACGTGATCGACGACGTCGGGTCCGTAGTCGAGCAGTTGCGTCGCCAGCGGTGGGAGAACGACCTCGAGGACGAAGAAGAAGAAGAAGGCGACATGATGATGGTCGAAGACGAAGAGACGATCGAGCAGCGCCACCAACTTTTGTCTCGTGAAGACCCGGAAAGACTAACGACCCACCTTAGCGAGTCCCTCGTGAAAGCGTTTGCCGCGCTGGATGAGCACTTGACGGACCTGTGGACCCAGCAGAGGGACGGTCCGAATAATGGGCAGATAGCCATGTACCTCCTTCGTCTGCTGCGGGATATTCGTAGTCGTTTACCTGATCAACCTCAGATTCCGACGGGCGCAGTGGCGGCGGCGGCGGAGGACAGCAGTATCAAAGCCTTTGGCCTGCCCACCATTCCTTCGTTACATACCTCCCTTGCCCGCGCGGTTTTGGTCAGCCCCGTCGATGAGTTCGTGACGGTCGCTTTGGCTCGGAAGACGGTGGTCGGGAGAGGGTTGTGGGAGGGAAGCCCCGAACTGCCGACCTCTCCCTCGCCGGGCATGTTCCGGTTCCTGCGCAGCCTGTCGGCGGCGATGGCGGAGGCGGGAGCGGACCTGTGGAGCCCGGCGGCGGGGAGGGAGCTGAAGAAGGAAGTGAGGGGGGAGGTGTGTAAGGTTTGGTTGGAGGCTGCCAGGGGGGTTCTAGAGGAAGCAGAGCGGCAAGAGCGGGAAAGTGGTGAGAAGGAGACTAGTAAAGAGGGGGACGAGGAGGAGGTTAAGGAGGAGGGCGAAAATGGCGGGGAAGAAGGGGGGAAAGAAGACAAGGAGGAAGAGACCGATGAGGAGGCCAAGAAGACACAGGCAGAAGAAGCCTTGGCCGCCAAAGCAGAGGCCGAGAAGCTCCAAAAACAACAAGAAGAAGAAGCCGAAAAAGCCAACCAACAACGCCGCGACCTCTTTGTCCAGTGGCTCTTCGACATCATCTACCTCGGCATCTTCCTCGACGGCAGCAAAGGCGACTTCAACGCGATTGCCAATACCGTCTTCCAGCACTCTGGTCTGGATCCAGGGGCCAAGGGAAGACTGGTCAAGGCGGCGCAGGAGTACTACAAGAGGACTCAATTGTTGTTTGGCTTGCTGACATCGTAGCCTTCCTTCCTTCCTTCTTTTGCTAAATAGAATATACAGTTACGATAATACCATTAACTTTGCTATGCTCATCAATAATCGTGTACGTTGGGTATATATATATATATAAGCCCGCTGCTCTTGTCCTTATGCGCCCGCCAAACTCCGACTCCGATTCCAACTTTTTGTCTCTGAGGGGGTATCTATCACCTTTCCGAACATCCGGTGATGCGAAGGCGGCCAAGAACTTGATATACTCAAAACAATAAAACCTACCAGAGGTATCTAGCTCCCGCCGCTTCTAATAACGGGACTACGACGAAGAAGCCCTCAACTCCTCCAAAGCCTTCCTCGCCATCTCCACGCTCTCAAATGCTTCCCCCTGCACCGCTACCCTTCTTCTTCTTCCTAGTCCCCTTGCCATCACCCATCTCTTTCGTGCTCGGTTTCGTTCCGTCGTATTATCCTTCCTCTCCTTCTCGTTCTTCACACCATTACTCACCACCCCATCCACGACCGGAGTTCCATTGGTCGCCTTCCCGTTCGTTATAGCCTGCTTATTACTATTACTGTTCTTCATCGTCTTCTGCTTCCTCCCCTTATCCCCCCTCTCAACCTCCTGCAACTCGTCCCACAACTCCCTCAAAATCTTCCACCCTTCTACCACCTCCTCCATCCTCCTTCTTCTCTCTTCGGGGCTGACGGCTTCCAATTCTCTTGCTCCCTGCACGATCCTCGCCTTCCTTATGTATTTGGCCGGTCCCCGGCCTCTCTGAGCTTGTTTGACTACTCCCTTGAGTGTATACCCGATCGGGCCGATAATCGCCGAAATGTCCTTCAGCACGAACCCAGTTAGTCCCATGCCCACACCTTTAACGAGACCAACCATCCGTCCCGCGGGAGCTGGTTTTGTCGTCGTTGCTCCCGCACCGTTATTATCGTTGGTGGTGCTGCCTCCTTGTGAGCCTGTTCCTGTTCCTGGTCGTGAAGCAGAACCAGAGGGTTTGCTGCTGATACCACCTTCTTTGAACCCACGATACGGCAACCGCACAAGACCCGTCCAGCCATCGTAGATCCCAAACACAAACTCGTGGCCTGCGGCTTTCAGACCGGATTTGATCCCCGTCACGCGCGTGGGGCGGCGGACGGTGTCGTCCCCGTACAGACGGGGCGCGTTGTGGAAGCCCTGGGCGAGAGCAATGGAGAGGTCGACGGGGGCGCGGGCGATGGCCGAGGCGGACTTGATAGCGCCTTGGCCGATTTCGTGGACGATTTCCTCGGCGACTTCGGCAGGATCGGTGGTGGATTCACCGCCGTTGGTGGTGGTTGTCATGGTGGTTAGGTTGGTGTCGGTGCGGTGGTCGGTTGCAGGGCGGATGGGTGCGTGGAGGGGGGATGGAGAGGGGGAGGGGGATGGGGAGTCGAAGCGGGAACGCGTGTTGTGGATGGCGTTGGTGGTTGTTGTGGTGATGTTGGGGAGGGATTGGCCTGAATCGGGGGTGGTCTCGTTGGAGTTGTTGTCGACAGCGGTGGCGTCATCTGGTTTGGAGTCGCTTGATCGACCGGAAAATTGGGCGTCTGACTTGTTATCATCATCGGCGGCGGCGGCGGCGGCGGCGTGATCTTTGGTTTCGACTTTTTGGATGGTTCCATTTTGCTGCTCAGACGGCTTGTCCACCTTCTCGCCATTGACTGCTGAGTTATCCTTCTCCTTGGCCTTCCCCTTCTCCTCCAATCTAGCCTCTCGGGCCTTCAACTTCTTCTCCCGCCTTTCCCTCTTCTCTTGCTTCTTGACCTTCCTCTGCTTGGCCTTCTTGCCCAGCCTGATTGGCACTCCACCGATTCCCGAAAACACATCGCCTACCGTCGAGACAACCGTGCCAGCCACGCCCGTCACCGGCTCACCAGGTCCTTCAAAGTCATTCCACTCGACATGACGCAGCAGCCTCAAGTTCTTCCACGAGGTGAGTCTCTTCTCGACCGCGAGGTCCGCAGCCATGGCACTCAGCTTCAAACCTGTCGGGCTCCCCTTGACTTGCCAGACTGCCACCTTATCTCTCAGAATTGAGCACCGCATCGACCGGTCACCATGGAGCATCAAGCCCTTGTGGAACGCCTTGCAAGCATTCTCGGCACCATCGCCTTCCTCACTGATCCGATGAGCAATCTCCTCCACGGCTTTCACAGCCTCGTCGGTGAGACAGTACTTGATTCCGTCGGCGAGTTTCTCCGCCGTCAGACTCTTGTACGGCACAGGCTCCGGGCCAGCCTTGGAGTTACTCACCATGGCACCCCAGAAATGCTGGTCGCCAAAGAAGGGCACAATCATGGTCGGCTTGCCACACTTGAGCGCAATAGCAGTGGTGCCTGCACCACCGTGAATCACGCAGGCGCGCACCCGGGGAAAGAGCCAGTCGTGCGGTGTGTTGTCGAGCATGTAGATGTTCTCGGGAACGTCGAGACTGTCGCCACCAAGACCACCCCAGCCTTTGGAGACGAGGGCGCGCACACCGGCTAGCTTGACGGCATCGAAGATCATCTGCGTGAACCTGTCTGCGTCGTCAACGACGATGGATCCGAAGCCGATGTAAACAGGGGCCTCGCCTGCTTCGAGGAATTTAACTAGGTCATCGGGAGGTTGGAAGGTGGAAGCCAGCTCGAGGAAGACAAAGCCGGATACGTCAATCTCGTCGCCCCAGTCCTCGGGCTTGGCGACAATACCGGGACTCCAGAGGTAGCTGAATGGGACGTGCAGACGGTAGGTAGCACCGGGGGCCCAGAGGGTAGAAACGGGATCGAGACCGAGTGTCTTGACGCGGAAGTCATTGACCAAATCGCCGAGACCTTGCCAAACCATCATCTCCACTAGAGGATAGGAGATCCAGTTCGTATAGCCGGGGTCGACATTGGACTTTTTGATGCTGGCGAGTGGATGGGGAAACGCTTGGGTGGGGGTATATGGGAAGGTAAACATCAAATGGACGGGAATACCCAGCGCCTCGGCGCAGTGGATATGGGCAAAGCTGGGAGGGTTGGCGATGATGGCATCGGCTACAAAGGGGTCCATGCGTCCCATCATCTTGAGGTTGTGAACATCCCGCTCGTCATCGGTGGCATTTATGCAAGCTCGCCAGAAACCTTGAAACATGCCCGCCATGGCGGCACGTCGCTTTCCGATGTCGCCAGCTTTTACTGATTCCAGAGTCGGGATCATACCGGGATTCTTGACCATGAAGCTCATGAGCTCTGCTGGATCGCCGCCGACGGAAAAGAACTCGAGGCCGGAATCCTTCTCGACAAAGTCGCGAAAGGCGGGGTGTGTAGCGATACGCACGCGATGGCCGTATTGCTCTTTCAGAACCTTTCCAATCTTCAAGAAGGGTTGCGCATCGCCGCGGGAACCGATGACCATAATGACAATATTTAGCTTTGGGCAGGAAATCTTGTCTGGACCGGCAGTAGTTGAGGCCGTGGAGAGTCGCGACCCGACCGAAGGCTTTCTGGTTTGCTCAGCGTTCTTGTTGGAATCTTCGCCCCTTGCCGGCATCACCTTCTTGGCTGCCATTCCCAGGGCCTTTGCTAGATAACCCGTACTGCTCGTGTCGTTGACCGAGATGTTGAGGCGACCATCACGCTTGGAGACCCTGCCCGTCGTCCTGTAGTTTTCATTTCCAACATTGAATTTACCAAAGTGGCCGTGTCGTTCATGCTGTTTTTTGTCGGCTTGTTTCTTTCGAAAGAGGGGCTTTTTGTGGCCAGGGGCATGCTCTTCTTCATCCGACGAGGACTCGCTACTGGAATCCGAGTTGTCGCCAAAGGCGGGCAGTGCCCTGGGATCCCACCGAGATGTGTTGGTCCCGGCGCGCTTCATAGCCGGTACGGCGAAGGAGTCTTGTCTATTGGTTTGTTTCGGTGCCTCGGTCTGCCATTGTTTGTTCATGGGTCGCTTGATGGGTTCGGTATGGGTTTTTCGCAGTCCTGGCGATTCTGAGACTTTGTCTATCGGGTTCGCTTGGTCTTGCTTTTTGTTCTGCGACGTGGGGGGAATGGCTGGGGAGAAACTCGGTGACTGGGTTTCAGGGGGAACATGGGAAGGGTAAAGAAGGTTACCCTTGGCGTCGCGAATGACAGTGACTTGGGCGCCGGTCGGACTCGTGCTTGTTTCGAGCTTGACGGGAGCTGGATCGGAGGTATCTGAGGTTGATGCAACCAGCGGTTGCGTTTCGAAAGCGGTAGCCATCCTGTTGCGATGCTTGGAGGGCTTGGGCCCGAGGGTATCGCTCTTCAAGGAAGATGCTCGTTATGATGGTCGCGGTGCTTGGACGTAGCGCGCGTCTTGCTGTGGGAGGATTGATGTTATATGACGAGTTAATGGTACCACCAGCGACTGTGACGCATGAAAGACGCTTTACGTCAAGTGCACCTGCTGCGTTGTTGGGCTGGTTAGGTAACGGGTTAATGGCGACGGAACATGTTTCTCCCCAGATGAATTGCCAACTGTAGTGGGAGAGCTCTTGCTCTGGTGTTTAACAAGGTAAATGATCGATTTGATCTTCTTCAAAAGGAGTGAGTGGCCGTTGGTTGGGTTATGTTCCTTGATCAGCGAAAGTGGTTCGTGTCACTGCCGAGTCTGCTCACGCGCCGCGAGGTCCAATGTTACTCGAAATGCAAGGGTAGCCGCAATCTAGAATTCCTGTTTTCTCTGTACAAGTCCCGTCATGGGCACTGCAGGTGAAAGAAGAGGCAACAGCGGGCAATGACATCATCTTGAGCTGCTTGGCCTTCAATAGCTTCAGGCTTGGCATTCCGCCTTTCCAGGGGTTGGCGTCTGTTAAGCGATAGCACATGTCCCAGGGACATTGTGACATCGGATGCGACTTTCAGTCATGAATCTGCCCGACCCGGTGTTGGAGATGTCACGATTCAACGTGCAAGATGGAGGCAGCGCGATATCGTCGTTGTTCTGGACTGAAATGTTGTTGCACACCATCAGCTGCCAACCCTGTCGGTTCATCCCGAAAAACCACTAACACTAACACCCGGAGGATCCACCAGGCCCCATCTGAACGACGCAATCCAACCTCAACAAGGCCAACCGCATTTGCATCGACTCGGAAAGACATGATCTACAAACCTGCCCACGCGACACAAGATCGATCTTCAACGCATCTCAAAGACACCTGTTATTTTTTGCATTTCGTTTTCGACAAAAAGTCAGAGTTGACTCGAGTCTCACCGAGCCCTACCGTTGGGGTGGAGGATATCTCTGCTCGCAACCCTAAATCTACCATCAATTGTACACATTCATACTGGTCATACCAGTGCTGAGCAACTCCAACTCTGTTCTTGAGCACCAGTACAGGCAAGTGTTACCATCACAAGTCAAGTGGGCCGCTGGTCTAGTGGTATGATTCTCGCTTAGGGTTCAATCCTGAGCATTCTTGCGAGAGGTCCCGGGTTCAATCCCCGGGTGGCCCCATCTTTTTTTCTTCTTTTTGCGAGTCATTCCCTGGGTGAGGGAGGTAAGCAGAAATAGACGTTGCTGAATACAACAGCCACTCAAGCATCACCAACCAAGTGTTGCATGTCCTTTTGTTTTTTTGTTGAATTCCATCTTTCATTCCTGTGGCTGCTCTCTATACGCAGCGAGTGTCCGGCGAGTATCCCTAGCTTCATGGGTATCTAAGCGTCCCCTTCTCTGCTCTCTCTTGCCCTTAAAGCAGTGATCTCCGCACAAATACGAAACCTATGCCTCCTCGCTGTGCTCCATTCCTTCCATGCTGCAAGAGAAGAAGAGAAGATAAAGAAGGAAAATGGACACCCAAAACTCCGGCCTCTCCTCAGTTCGACACCCCTGAACTCCGAAACTCTTTGCTCGATCGAACGCAACGCAATGCAAACGCAACCAGTCATGCCCATGCCCAAGTGCCCGCTATTCCGTCTTGTGTGATCCCAGCCGATGAAAAATCCAACGCTCCACGCCTTAAGCATAGCCCGCAAAGAAAGCAGCGAGACTCGGAAAGAGAATGACTTTGAGGAAGACACGCAGCGAGCCAGCCTCTCCGATCATCTCTCTGGGGTCATTGTTGTCGCTGTTTTCGACTTTCTCGTTGTCATCAATAACAGAGACATTCCCACCGGTGTTATCGCCCTTGTCGTCGTCTTCGTTGTCATTGTTGACGTTGGGGTTAAGCTCGTCTCCGCTCTCATAGTCGCTCTCTACCCCGCTGGTGCTGTCAAGGTTCGAAGCAACTGTTACGCCCTCGTTTCCTCCATTGCCTAGCGATAGGCGAATTGTGGTCAGTTCAGGTCGGGACCTCGAGGAGGGTGGGTAAGAAGAAAGAGAGAAAAAACGAGCAGGACGAATGTAACAGAGGTTAGCTAGCAAAAAATAGCAAGCCATACCCTTTGGCATCGCTCTCCATATTCCTTTCCACCCCTTGACCCTTCACATCTCACAGCATACTCCACAACACTGCGCACTTAACAGTTCACATACCACCACCGCCGGTGAAACCGGTAGATCCCATAATCATTCTTTCGTCAATGAACGAAAGTAAGAACTTGGAGAGAAGTCGACCGGTGAACAAGTGGAAGAGGCTAGTCTTGTTTTTATTGGCGGGATCGGTGAAAGGGTCGACGTTCTCTTTGGGAGGACCGCTGGGGTCGAAGGTCAGGAAGTCGAGTTCGTGGCCTATTTCGATTGCAGGTGTTGTTAGTTGGTGCTTTGGGAGTATTGACTTTGGCAGAAGAGAAAATCGGTGCTTATAGGTGGAATTGGAAAGTGCGGGGAGATTGGAAGGTTACGGGTGAAGGGTTGAAAGAAAAACCTGAGAGGAATGGAGAAGGATGGTAGGAAGTAGATGTGGGACATGACTTGAATGTTAAGGTTCGGTCAAGGTGTATGAATTTACCAAGGTTGGAGCCGTCCAAGAGGCCAGAGACCATACAAGTCATGGAGGGGAAGATGGGATGGTGGTGAGAGCGGAAGGGGGATTTTTTCCACGGCAGAAATAAGGGGTTCAAGAGGAAAAGGGCAAAACTTACGAACATCCGAAACGTCAAAAAACCGGTCCCGGAACGTCTTCACCATGTAGATCGCCGCCTCTCCATCCGGGAACTCTCTGAGGCTCTCCAACGCCTCATCATCCACGAATGGGTTAAACGCCTTCCCGTCTTTCGCCGTCGACGGATGCGTTTGATAAATCTGGTGGAACTGATACATGAACTGCTTGAACGGCAAGTTGTCAATCGCCTCGAGTGTATCCCAGGCTTGTTTGCGAGTAAAGTCCATCTTCAACTGATCCATACCCTGCTCGATCTCCCCGATATCCTCGATACCCCCTTCTTTCCTGCCCAGAATATTCTCCGCTTCCTGTTGCTGATGCTGATGGTACTGCTGCTGTTGCTGCCGTTGCTGAACCTTGTACAACCAATCCCTCTTCTTGACCTCATTCTCCATAACCACATACGCGTCCGCCTGCGCCTCCTTATACTCCAAAAACACACTAAGCGCCACGAACGCCGCAAAGCAGCCCGCCCACTCCTTGCGGGATCTTGGCTTCAGCGCCTTGCTAAAGTCCTCAAACAGCCTCCTCACCTCACGCTCAATCATGTCGTTTGTCACCGCTTTCAGCTGCCTGTTGAGCACCCTGGCCGTCAGAACCTTCCTGTCCAAGCCCTCGGGCACCCGATACCCCGCAGCCTCAATAGCGTGCACGGATTCCGGGTCCAGGTGCAGGTGGTAAGACATGGTGTAGTTCATGGTCAGAATCTGCAGCGCGCGCTTGACCATGCCGTTGCGAGATTCGTTGGCGTATCGTCGCAAAATAGGAAGCACCCGATTGGGGATTTTGGTAGTATGCTCGCACGATTGTGTGAGGAGGTAAGCCCATTGGTCTTCGTTATATAGTCCCTCGTGGAACTGGCGCAGATGCCGGCGCAGTTCTTCGCGCTGGTCGAGCCAGCCATACGGCAGCGCAATCGGCGTTGCCGGGGACTCTTCGAGGACGAGCCCGTGGCCCGCCCCGAGCGAGTGTTCGCGCACGGTGTACCACCTTGTAGCGTCGGGGGCGTTGGGGGTGGGAGTGAAGAACTTGGCAAACACGGTGAGCATAGCATCCTTGTTGAAGCCACGGCCGAGAGTCAGACGCAATTTGATCGGTTTCTCAGAGTCCTCTTCGTCCTCCCGGAAGCGCACCGAAAAAGAGGCGACGTTTTCCCTTACGTACTCCTCTGCTCCCTTAGCGCCTTCCCGCTTCAGATGTACTTTCAGCCATCCCGGAAAGATGACCTCGGTGAAGTCGCTGAACTGCCAGCAGATCACCTCGGGCACAGTGAGCTTGAGTTTCTCGCACCGCCGGCACGGGCGTGTTTCCTCGCACGACACCTTACGAGCGTGACAGCAGAAGCAGGCGCCTATGCGGCGGACTTGCAAGGCGGAAACGGCGGTGGAGATGGCGAGAGGACCCTTGCGGCCCCTGAGAGTGGTGCGGCTGCTTCCCTCGGCGTCCTTACCGCCGAACAAGGCCGCGCTGCTGCCCTTAGCAGCGTTCTGACTGATGGACTGCGGGGTGATGACGACGAACTTGTTTTCACCGGAGATGTTCACGGTCACGCTGCCGGGGGATGTGGAAGAGAAGGTGACTGTAGACGGGCTGGGTGGTACCTTTTTCTTCTGGACGCGAGCATTGCCACGGGTCTTATGGATGGCAGTGGGCTTGGAGGTCGCGTGCGAAGATGAGGAGGGGCCCGGAACAGGGACGGATGGAGCTGGGTATCGCTGCTGGACTTGAACGGACAGGTAAGGAGCATCCTCTGGGGCAGAGTGATGGCTCAAGATTTGGCTGTTGATACTCTCTGGTGGGCTGGAACTGAGTGCACCTGGGCCGATCTCGATGTTAAAGTCTTCCATGTTGAAGGGGGAGGGGACTTCATCCATGAACCCGGGCTCGAGGCCACCAGGATGAAGAGGATCCCAAGGTGGGACATTAACATCAGACAAGACAATGTGGAGGTCAAAGTCGTCCTGAAAGTTCTGTGGTTGTTGGTTCTGGTGGCTGGCAGGCTGTTCAGATCGTCCCACAGCAGCCATGCCTTGTTCGTATTGCGGATCAGGAAACAGAATAGAGTTGATGTCCACGTTGTCGAAGGTATACCCATCGAAGTGTGAGAAATCATCAGCGGGGAATTGGTAACCACCTTCGGGCGAGCCAGACAAGGCATCTGGAGTCAAGGCAGCTGGCAGGGGGCTTAAACCGCCGCCAAACTGTTCCTCAACATTGGTCCAAGAGCTTAGACTACCCTGGACAGGGCTGGTCTGAAGGCCGCCCAAAGTACCGGTATCGGGGCTGACATTGACAAAAGCCCAAGCGTGTTGGTCAAAATCCGAGTCACTGCCGATGGACTCGGGGGCATATCCATGTTGGGGCCTGTGGGTGTTGGTGTGATCATGCTGATGACCATATCCATAGTTGTGTTCGCATTCAGCTTGCTCATGCTCAGGGTTACCATGATGACCCTGAAAGGGTGAGTAGCTCATGAGGGGCGCAGTAGACATGGTTTCCGAGGGAGCAGCTTCGGCGGGTGGTGTTATGGTTTCGCGGCCTTTGCCCTTGTCAGTAGCCCTCGTGGTGTCGAGGGCTTCGTTCTTTGATTCCTCCACTTTGGCGGTTGGAAAGGGGATCTTCGGGATTTCCTTGAACGGGGAACCTCCTTGCTCTAGGGGCTCGGGGTCTTGGACGCCTTGAGATGCGTTGGCTAGGACCTCGGTTGGTGAAACGTAAAGAGACCGTTGTCTATGGCTTTGTGGACGTGGGGTGGTACGCTGGTGTGATGTTGTGTTGCGGTGATGATCTGGACAGTTGAATTCTTTGACGCTTGTTAAACGGTCTATTCGAAAGTGGTATAGAAAGGTGAAACGGATTCGGGATTCTGTGCGATGTAATCCTCGTTCTTATATCCAGCGAGAGCTTTGGGATGCCGCAGCACGCAAGATCAATGGCTCATGGAATGCTCTTTTAGACAGAGTGTCATTCTCTTGTTTGTCGTATCAAGAGTGTTCAAGACCAAGGAGAGGTGTCGCAGCAGGACGTGTGGAAGGGTAGAGTCGAGTCACGACAGCTACCAAGACCGAGGCATGCCCATTCAGAGAGTCAAGAGGGTCGTGAAGAGAGGGCGATGGAAAGAATGATGGGAACGAGAAGTGAGTTGAAGAACTGGAAACGAGGAAGATGATTCAGATATTGGAAACACCAAAAAAGATCAGTGTTCTTTTCCCGAGTCCTTTTGGTTCTGAAGAGACTCTGACCTGACGTCGTCAAGGACAGGTCAGTCAGAGCCAAGACAAGACGTTTGCCTGCCTGAGATCTACCCCTCCATGACAGATTGAATCCGATGGGATACAATGTTGTACACGGTAGACAGGCCGGGAGTGGCTTCAAACTTCTATCGAGAGAAGTGTCAAGAGTGTCAAAGACCCGTCTTCAGCAAACCAGACGATATAACTAACCTCTTCAGGGTACCGAACAGATGCGCAACTTGCATGCCCATTCCTCCAGCTCATCGTCACCATCATGTTCCTATTGGACAGAGTCGAAGGCTGGTTCACTCAGCCCGCCCTGTCACCAGGGGATGCGCAACCCATGGGTGTGTTCTGCGGGAGGCATGGGGAGGGACATGAGGTGGGCGAGGTGTCATCCAGAGAGGGGACATTGGGGACAGATTGGGGGGGGGGGGGGGAATGTCCCCTCGATGCGAAAGTCAGGAAAGGAAGAAGGATGAAAGCCAACCCCTCTTGGCGGCGCTATACCCGATTGGATACCGATTCCAACAGCCACTATTTGAACCGCGCCTCCTCCCACTAGCCAGTGGCCTCTCTTTCCTCTGGTTTCCCGACCTGATTTTACTGTACCATTTCCATTTTTCATGTACTGATCTTACCGTACTACCCACCGAGGCTTTCCACTAGCTTTGTCGCTTTCGTTTCACTTTCCTCCTGGATCCTTGCTTGCAATGCAACACGTCCATGGATGGACGGACGGACAGATTTCGTAGAGGCGAGGTTACCAAAGATGGAATCCAGGGCGAACGTCATTCGACTCAGCAAACAATCCGTCCTACCTTCATCTGAGCCCAACACTTTCGAGGCATCGAGTCAGGCCTGTCAACGAATAATGAATGAATGGCAGTACATCTAGGCAGAGCGGACGGTTCAACGGAACGGAGTGTCTGGAATTCTTCCCAGCATTTATACTATGACATGTGGTTGCTACTCCGATGAACTACGAAAGGACAACCCGCCAAGGCCAGCAATGCCTCAATCAACTATCACTTACACACGACCACATCCCCTGGTGCTGATGATGACGACCGTGGTGATGATGACCAACACCTACAAGGACTAGCAAACGCATCAAGCTAAGATCAATTGGGAACATTAAGAATCCGTTCAACATCTCTCATTTTCTCTAAGTTCTTGAACTTCTCGGTCACCAACTTGTCCCCACAGTACCACCATCCCAAGCGTGCCCATCTAGTATACCCAGCGTTAGACATCATGGCTTCATGGGAAAGAAAGGGCAAGGACAAGGACCAGGTGGACATGCTGTGTTTCCCCACGGCACACAATACACTACATACCAACACACGACTTACACCACAGACTTAAACCACACGTTCTTATATCCGCTCGCCTCGGCCTCGGCTTGAAACTTTTATGGTATAGGTATCATGTAAGATCCGACTGGAATCTTGATCGTGGTGTCATCAACTACGAGTTTGACTTTAATGAATAACTACTCAGCATCACGGAAAAATGGGGCAAAATCTGGGAACCAACGAAGGATAGTCAGAATCTGAGCCTCATCGTTGTGCTAAACGAGCGTATCATTTGGTACCGCAAAGGCTTAAAGAATTCCACTTTCAAGGGAATGTCGTCAATCACATACATACAATCATAATGGTTAATGGTCAATTTACCTAGTTGCGTTTGACGGCTGCCGAGGAGCTTTCATGGCGATAGAGTAGTCGCATACCTTTGATCTTTTGCCTTCCTCACTACCTGCATTTCGGGACTGTACTCGTGAGTCTTTTGCCATGTGTCCTCATAATGGTGTTAACCCGACTACCAAGCACCAATCATGGGCATACCCTACAAACAGGAGACTCAACCAAAGGCCCCCCTGTATGTCGTAAGTATCTCTTCGAAAAGACCTCGGTAAACAAAGCCGAAACAAAGCCGCTCATCAACGCAGACTTGAGTTCCTCCCCTTTAGATAAGCCCAGAAGAGGTGAGAAGATGGAAAAAGGGCAGTGAGAATGACATGACAGGTAAGGCAACACAACACAGCCCGGAATCACGACATCAAGCAGTGACAGTGGCAAAAGGAGTGTGGCAACCAGTAATCTGTAGAGGTAGTCAGGTTCGGTAAGAAAGGCAGTCAAGGGAGGAGGGTAAGTAGGCAGCTAAGGGAGGTAGTGGGATATAATCCGTGCTACACAACGAGAGAGGTCGGGCCGGTTGTTGTTATTTGGTAGGAGTATGTAGCGTAGAGCGGGCAAGTCTGAAGCAAGCTCACATGGTTGGTGAGGCGACTGTGGGTGTAAAAGAAAGATTGCAGAAGACGAGCGAGCAGCGATCTCAAGGTATCAAACTGTAAGGCCAAGTCATTTAAAAGCCAATAACTAACAGTATCAAAAGACCACCCTCCCAAGACACTTGGGTACGTTAACACCCACCCCACCCAACACCTCACTTAATTGCACAGCGTACATCAAGAGAACCTCTAGCAACCACGAGAGGGGAATCCCAAAGATACAGGAAGGCAAAGATGACGTCAGTACCACCCCGTATACCCCGAGCACCGTCTCTTTCCGAGTCCAAGTTGTCCAATGAAGGTGTTCTATATCCATATCCGAGCTGAGATGAGATGAGTGAGGTATATCGACAGTTCTTTTATCCGTTTCCTTCCTTGCTTATATCCAACCAGCACACGCTTTTCCCGTCTCCAATCCCAAATTCATTTACCTATCCAAGGTGTTTTCCTCTTTTTGCTGTTTTCCCTCCAGTTTTTTCCCTTTCCCTAGGTAACTTTGACCATCCTGGACAGACCAGTAAAGGCATACTTGTCCTTGGTGCTGTCCCAACCCTTTTCATACCAGAATTCTAACAAAGCTCGCCGACAAGCCTTTCCTTGACTTGTCCTTGGCGTAGATATAACCTCCTGTAGATTTGTCGAGACAATGTTATGTCCGTCTGGGGTTCTTTCTTCTAGAAAACCAAAAGCAGAATGTCAAGCAAAAATGAGAGAAAAAAAGAAAAAAAAGATAAAGAAGAAAAGAAAAAAAAAAAAAAAAAAAAAAAAAGAAAAAGGGAAAGAAGAAAAAGCAACAGATATAATAAGAGTGCCTCCGACCGAGTGGATGCTACATGACCAAACCTTCTATATATATATAGCCTCGCGGCTGTTCCTTCTCCCGTGTATCTTCCTGACCAATGATGCAACCATAATGATAAAAGCAAACTTGAGATCCAGATCCAAAGGGGAGTCCTGTAGGGGGATATAACCAAACCAGACCAAACGCGCATAAAAAGCAGAACCAAGGATTCAAAATCAAGCTGGTGAAGTCGCAGAGAGGTACTGTAAGTGAAGGTGTAGGTGTAAAGGATCACCCACTCCCACTCAAGAGTAAGGGCATCCATCATCTTCAACCTTCACAACCTCCCGCTTCACCCCACCCACCCCAAGCCCTCAGCGGAACCTCGCCGCCGCAGCCGCCGCCCGTTCCTGGATCTGCTGCTCCGTCCTCACATACAGCTTATCCAAAAAGTCCATAGCCGGCGCATCCTTGAGGATCTTGGCGACCTGAATCCCCGCACTGATCAGCTGCAAGATATTCCGATCGTCCTTCAACGGACGACTCTGATGCTTGGCCGCGTGCCTCATCTCCAGACTGTTCTCCAAAATCGTCACAAACTGCTTGATTTGCCCGTTATACAGCACCCGCGCGGGGATTCTTCGCTTGGTGGCCAGTCTCTTCAAAAGGTACACCCACTCGGTCCATTCGCGGTCCTGCGGTCTCTCGACGGGCCGCATGTCTTGGGTCAAAGGGATGGGGAACTGGTACTTGGCTACAAAGTCGTAGGCGCACTGGGAGAGCCGGTCGTTGACTTGCGTCAGGACGGAGTCCTGTTCTTGCACGAGGAGGTTGGTCGGCAGGTGGGGGAGCTCGCGCTCTTGCATGGCGATGTATTCCGGCGGAGGACGCTGAAGGAATTGGTGCGGCCCGTCAAACTCGTCCCGGTTGGAGGGGCGACGCTGAGAGCGGCTACCTCGGTTGTTGTTACCGTTACCACCGTTGTGGTTGTTGTGATGATGATTGTGGCTGTGGTGGTTCTGATGGTGGTTCTTGTTGCCGCCCGGCTTGCTGGAGGGTGCTGTTGACAGCGAGGGGTTGTCGAGCGAGTAGTCGGAGAGGCTGGGCGAAGCCAGGATGTCGTCGACCGAGTCCGCCGATGACGACGAGGCGAACCGCGACGACGACGCCGGGAGGTGGTGATCACCCCATCCCCCCTGTGTGTGGTTGAGGTTGAGGTTGAGGTTGGGCCCGGTGCTCCGGTACTGCCCGTTAAGGTGCCCGTGGGCGGCGCCGTGGCCTGGCGCGCTAGTGTATGGGTCAACGGGGGCTGGTCGGGGGTTGTAAAGCTGAGGGGTGGGCGCGGCGGCGGCGTGGTAGACGTGGTCGGGTCCGGCTCGTCCAAGGTTGTACTGGCTCTTTAGGTTGCTTCCAAGACCGAGGCCGTTGCCTAGCGCCGCCATCGACACGGCGGTCGTTGGCAGGTTAAATGTCGAGACATTTCCGCTTGTCGAGAAGGCCACGCTTTTCACTTCAGTGTTATTTCCGGCATTCCTCTGAAGACGGGGATATTCTCGCTGAATGGAGGCAGATGGTGGTTCGATTTCTTACCTATGCGGCCGATAGGGACCCCTGCTGGTGACGTCGAACGAGGTGGTGTTGGTGTGCTGCTGGTACGATGTTGTATCGTCGTTGTATAGCGGGCTTTTGGTGCATTCGGTTAGTTAGCTCTAGATGCGCCCCGAGTTACCCCAAAAGGAGGGATGATGTGACGGTTGGTCATGTTTTGGGGATTTAGGCTGTATTTTCCCACCTGCGCGTAGAGAGCCAAGGGTCACTTGGCACAACGGCCGACGTGCGGTAATAAGCAAAGTCCGGCTGTGCCATCTTTAGTCTTTTCCTATAGCTGATTTGTCGGAATGGGATTTCCGAAAGATCGATGCAATTCTTGTTGAAAGGGCGCCCGTCCAAAATGGTGGTATTTTATCAAGTCCTCTTTTTTTTTCTTGCAAAACTTGGCGAGCGCAAAAAAATCGCAACACGGAAAATTCAAAATATTATGGCCCGCAGGAGTGTTCAAATTGGCAGAGGAGGAGAGAGAAAAAAAAATATTCGTCCAGCAAAACGGCAAAAACCGAAAAAAGCCTGCGGCCAGGATTTCCTGGGATACCGGCCACCGAAATCTTTCCAACTCCAGAAGGATCCACGAAACGGAGCTGGCGATAACCTCAACGGGTTATCAGATCTTTTCGGCGGATTCGCAATGATCCAGGGGTCCGGTAGGGCTCTCGCTGGCGACTCAACTAAACACGCGGGCGGGTTTGACAGCTTGGCGGCGTGCGCACAAGTGGATTCCTAGGTATTTTTTTCTGATCGCGAACCGGACCCGAGATCAACAGCGGCGTGTCCTGGCACTCTTCCTTCGGACGAAGACGACAAAGATAAAGAAGACCCTAGAGACTCCAGAGGGCTGGGCCCACGATGGTGACATAATCCACCTCCAAGTTGGGAGCGTGTGGCAAGGTTGATGCTGTCACGACAGCGAGCAGCACGGATACGGCGCGACACGATATCCTGGCCGGTGCGCCCCGGCAGTTGGGAGGCCGAGAGTACGACACACACACGTGCAATCACACGCCCCGTTTCCCGGTCAGCAAAAAGACACAAGCGAGCGATGTCAACTTTGGATCGCCAGCAAGCGCGCGTGGGGGATGTTTCTCCTGACTCGTGCAAAGGTCCAAAGCAATCGGGTGTGAACGAGAACGGAAGATGATGAGCAACAAGACGTAGCGATGATGGCAGGTCGCCAACAAGTCGACAAAGTCAAACCGCAGGACGAGCGAGTGCAGCTTTTTTTTTTTGCAATTCTTTGCTTGGTCGTGGTTCTTGGCTGCCGGGACACCCTGGACATCTGATTTTGCGCCGCAATCCTCGGTTCTCCAGAGCCAGAGGGTGGCCTGCGCTTGCAGGGCAGAAGCATCTGTACGGCGGAGGAGTGCTCCTGCTGGTGGTGATGCGTCGTCCGGAGTGAATCCCGATGGTGTCAGCCACTCCATTGACATGTCAACCGCGGGAAGCTGGCCTGGTTGCCCGGATGAGTGTCGTCGTGTCAAAACACCCAAACATCGCGAGGATGAGGCTCACCAAAACGGCATTGACGGTGTGTAGGTTCCACGGGATAACCTGTGGCCGGCCCAAAGTAGGGCACCAGCGTTGGGCAATGGCAGAGACTAGTTGCCAAAGACGGCGTGTTTCGTGGGGATGCAAGATGTGTTGTCGACGACCCCCAAAGGCCATCCAAGGTGATTGGTGCAAGGAGCTCCCCTGAGCAAGTCGGAGCTGGTTGTGATTCGGAGAACGTGAAAGCTCTGGAAGGGTTGGGCACAAATGGAACACAGTTCGCTGGCAAGCCCAATTTATGTCTTGATGCCACATGCCATACCGCATGTTTACCGACTTTTGCTCCCCCCCCCCCAATCCCGCATTTCGTGGCGTGGCCATCGCTCCGTTCTGTGACCCTGCACCTCTACGGCCTCTGCCGGTGAGGGCATGGGGTTCCGGATTCTTTAATGCTGTGTGTCCTGCCCCTTTGTCCTGCAACCCTCCCGTCCCTCTTTGGGTCTCCCCGTCCAAACTGCCCGTTCCTTTTCCTTTAAAAAGGTCAAACCCAAAGCTGAAATCCGCATCAGGACTTTGAAGTCCGGAGATCTGGTGTACGGATATCGGCCTTGGGAAAGACCGCATACGCGCCATATTGCCCCTCAAGAAAACCATACCGATGCCCAAAAAATGTGAGGCTGGAATGGGAACTCATTCATGAGATGAGATGTGTGCGTCGGCGAGACCCCTTCTCTCATCACATGTCTCTCCCGTTGCAATGGTCTCGCTTGCCGGCCGCCGGTTGTGTGGAAACTCTTTGGAGCACTGGAAGGGCGGCCCCACCTTGCCGCCCAGTCCCGAATACCCGCCCCGTTACGTTGGATGCCCGTTTCTTTTGCGACCGTCCCGTCGCGGATTTGGATGCCGGCCACGTTCTTGCCCTTTTCGTTCCCCCTTCCTGTCTCGGTCCGGATGAACCGCCCGTTTTCCCGAAACCTCAGCCCGGAGTGAGGATTACCAACACAGCACACCTTACCCAGACAACCCGCCCCGGACCCGGCCCCGGACAGGCCTTCCGCCGGTTACCTCGGTGTCATCTCCGGAGGCAGTTATTATATCGTTAAATTTCGTCAGGTGAGTGACCATCGAGAAGATGCATCGGCCCATACGCATTCATGGAGGACGGTAAAAAAGAACAATTGACGTGCTGTGCTGGGCCACCACCAGCTTACGTCTCTCGACAAGACATAGCAGCCCTTGGAGTACCTTGACGGTTCATGTTCCCCGGGATGGATGGTGTTGAAGTTGATGTTGTTCCAAGTTGGAACTTACAGACGGGCCTTAACCTCTGGCCGATGGCCGAGGTAACCCCGGGGTGAAATTATGCCCCAGTCGAAATCTGCGGTAGTACCGATCTGGAGCTTTGCACCACCCCCTGAAAACTCATCTGATACCGATGTTCTTCTGAGACTCACACACATCTGGAGGCAGTAGACCCTGACCACACTATCGTCCGACCGATGTCCACTCGACAGCGTGCCAACCGCAGGTTTCGTGTACCTTACCCACCAAATCAGTTGGCTTGGCATTTCTGGATCCTTATAAGATCAAGTTCTAGATAAGGCCTGGCGGGATGCTTTGAATGTCCAGAAGCTGTCCAAACGAGGGGTTCTGGGTGTTACAGCATATCACGTTGCTTTGTGTGACTTCTGGACCAATCTCCGAGATCGACGACATGCTGTGGCACTTGGTCAAGCCACCATCGTGAGCGATGGCCGGACACAAGCCACTCATCCAGTGGTAGGGACCAGGGAATGGCTGTATTTTCTTTGACGGAGTGTGGCAGGGCATGAAGTCTACGCAGGATGAAATCCGACAGCGGGCAGGTCTTGCTAGAGGCTTGCGCTGGGGCTTTCTGATCTGTTGTGCCTCATGGCCATGAAATTTCAGTGGCATGCGAAAGTGGCTCATCACTGCTTTTGCATGGCGGTGATTGTGTGTATGGGACTTGCATGCGATTTCTTCCGATGGCAGACACGGCCGTCAATGATCAAGCCACTAATGAAGCAGGATGCCATGGCCTCAGCCTCTTGTGGTGGAAGACCAACAAACATGTCTCACCCGTTCGATATACCTTGAGGAGACATCCCATCATGGGTATGGAATGATGTTGATGGGGTGCAATTGTAACGAAGGAAGCTCGGCGAGGAAGTTTGCGACGGTCGCAAAAGTACCTACCTATCTTGGCAGTGCACTAACAACCCAGCAGTTGTAGCGACCTTGTTGACCGAACACTCGATTTCGCCACCTCCGTCATTCTTTGTCGTCCAGCACCCAGTTCGCGATTCCAACATCCTCCATCGAATGCCTCTGCGAATTTCACTACATCTGGACGCATCCTCACGTCTCGACAAATCACCTACGATTGTATCCAAGTTTTGGATGCCGGTGTTCACTCGGATACGCTCATCGGTATGCCCACCTTTTCAACCACCTTCCACTGCACTGTCGATACGTTACGCTCTTCAAAATTGATGCGTGTTACAAACCCGCGGTTGGATTTCCAGGATCGGATTGAGATGTGTTGGGTTCAAGTGGCGAGGAGAACGCAAGGGGAGCGTAACTGCACTGGACAAGAGACACTGAAAAGAGTTATGTTGGCATACGAGTGAAGGGGGAATCGATCACCAACTTTTGCTACGATGGTTGCATTGCACAGGGTCGTCCAAAACCTACCGACTTAACGCGTCCTCTTTGACAATGTCGCCCGCGACATGGCTACACACGGCGCGAAGGATAGCTTGGAGGAATGCACCGGTCTTATCGACGACGATCCAGCTCAGATGGATTTCTATCACGAAAAGAGCCACGATAAGGTAATACCGAAGTTGTTCCACCGGCATCTGGACGATTCGAAGTTCTGGCCAGAACGACGACTGATCTTCCCGTCCACGGCTTACCACCATTGGCAAAAAGGGAACCGTTATCGGCATGCCATACTTGAGCAGTGGTTCAACACATGGTCGGCGCACATGGACGACGTGAAGAGGCGGAATAATGAACGACTGTAATGCGACGGCGGTATCGTTCGACATTTCAACAAAGTTGGTGAGCGCAGTCAATGCGGCAGGCATGGAGGATATGGAAGAGGCCATCATGCGATTGGGGCGCTGGAACAGGAGATGGTCACGGCGGTTCGAGTCGAGACGGGCGGGACATGGCTCGAATATTCTTCTGGGGAAACGGCGAGATTTGATGGACGCCGACGACGATGACTGGACCTCCCTTTGACCCTCTTTGGACTCTCCTGCATGACGACCCCACGATATCGGACGCATTGGTGCCTTTGCGCATGGAAATCATGATGTTGGCGACATATCAGCTTTATGAGCCGTTCAGTGCATACACAACGACGACGAAGAGCAAATCGGCGCTCTCTTGGTCAATGGCACCATGGTATTCGCGACCATTATATTGCCTCATTTGTCGCATCGCCATTGCGGTCAGGTAAGTGAAGCCCAACCAGCTTATCTCGTGAGACAAACAGTGGCAGACATTGGTAAACATTGAGCGCAGATAAGATCAAGATATGCCACTCAGATGTTGCGGTTTGAGGCTGTCGGGAAATTCCATGCCGAGGAGGGTGCCAGTGACGGCCGTCGTGGAGACTGTGGGGGGGATTAGCATCATGTTGATGCGGCTTTGAAAAAATCCTCAAGAAAACTAAGGCGGTTGCATTACACGCTGGCAGTGCAGGAAGCGGCTCAATGCATGTCAGAGCGATAAGTCGTCGAATTGATATCGGACGACGTCGTCGCCGCGAGCAGTTCCGTCCATTTAGACGGCCGGACGACCAGACATCGACACAACCATCAACAGACAGACGGCCTCTTTGCAGCAGCAGACACGGCAGGCCGATAGTCAGCAATAACCATCAGACGATTGTGTGCCGCTGTCATTTCTGTTTGTCAATCCGGCCCTCGAGACTGGTTCATGACGGAAGGGCATCTCTTTCTTCAGTGGTGCATGGCCGTCCATTCAGGTTGCCAAGATGGCTTGTGGAAGGAGTGCTGGAACAATATTGGCTAGAAGAGAAGCCTCTCATTCGGTTTCTTCGATATGCGGGTTGGCTATTGGGTGAGCACGCACTTGGTGAAACCAGTTGCGAAGAGGCTGCTCTTCTCCTCAGTTCCAAGCTTCTTGATGAGTTGTCAACGAGGCAGTCTTCCATTTTCTGCAGGCATCCCGAGCAGACCACCATCCAAGGCGGGGGTTAGATCTGGCTTTGAGCGTTGTCAGTGCAGCGCGATTACCATTGCAGCGGCGCATGCGTTGGATGCCGAAACTTTTGAAACATTTCCGCAATGTGCTCCATCATAGCATGCAGATTTTGATCAGATTCCGGATCGCGTTTCGCAGATTGATGGGAGAAGAGACAGCTTTCGAAGTTTCGAATCTATCAGATTTTTTTTGTCGTTGGTCTGCTGAGTACCATGAGATTACTCGGCTCACGGTTGAAGATCGCAATTGTCCGGGATACTGATATTGGCAGGCCCGGCGTGTCTTTTGATCGGTATAGCCGGCCTCTCTGGATATTTGTTGTTCGTATTCCTGTTGCATCATCATCTCCCGGCAAACCACCCCCCCATAATCTCATCAGCCTCAATTTCTTTTTTGTCTCATCACCCGGTTATCTTGTCACAGCCAAGGACGTGTGTGATATCGAACTGGATGGCGGGCGGTGGTGGTGTTGTGGGAGGCATAATTCGCAATTCGCGCAAAACACGCCCTGACACCCCGGAGTTAGACCCCTCCTTCCAGTGAAAACAAGTGGGCTGGGGGGTGTCTCTGGGACCGGGGGGGCTATCTGCACTGATGTGTTGGCAAGTTGGCAAGCCATGTGCTGCAGCCAATTCCAGCGATAGCAGCCAATGCCGTCGCAAAGACGGCCCTGGTTGCAGGCTAACCATCGTCACCGGGCATGATAGGCCGGGGAGGCATGCTTGGCCCCGCTGGCAGACCCTCCATGTTTCTCTTCCATCGCTTGTCGCATCGCCGGAAAACAGGATAACAGGCCAGTCAGACGCCGGACCATGACCATCACGCCGGGTCTCGTCAGCCGCGGCCTATTGCACGTGCAGCCGAATGTGGTGCCAGCTCAGCTTTTTTCCGCACTTTTGATTGTGACAGGTCTGCCGGGTGCAGAAGTGCAATTATTGCGGAGGAGGTGCGAGGTTGGGAAAAGAGGGGGAAGTGGGAAGGTGAAGTGAGAAACTGAAGTGAAGGACGAGGCTGTGGGAAAGTGCAGTCAGTGGTGACGGGAGAGTTTGGTTTGGAGTTGGGATTGGCGCAGTTCAATTTTGCAATTTCTCGTGTTAGTGGTCTCGGTATCAGTGTTCTGGATCGATGCATTTCACAGGCATGGAAATGGACGGACGCAACAACGGGAGCAACAGCGGCAGCAACAGCAACAGCAACAGCAACAGCCCAGCAGGCAGTAGAGGCAGAGCGGGAAAAGTGGGGTATGCAATGTTCTGCACCTCACTGGTGTGGTCTTGGTGCAATGCCATCCATGGATGCTCCCCTGCAATGCAGCCTCATGTCGAATGAGTTGGACGACCACTCTGCTCGCAACCAGGGGGGGTGTGTGAGAGGGTGCAAAGGGACCGGGGTTGAGAGGACCAAGGGATCATTGCGATGAGGAAGGAGGCTGCACGGAATGAGCTTCGCTTTCCCACTGGTGGTCGCAGGAAAAGAAAGAGAAAAACCAGGAGCAACGAGGGGAAGGAGCGGCCGTTCTGCTCGACATTAAAACCAGACTTTTTCCCCCTCGCCTGCCCATCAGCTGCTCTTTCCTCGACCAAATTTCCTCACCGCACTTTCTTGGAAGCCCAACCCGTCTTGGATTTGTGCCCAACGACCCTCTCAGCCAACCACCAAGCGCCCGCTGCTCGACGCCCTCACTGGACTCAGCCCTGGACCACACGCACACACACAACCAAGGACGGAACCACTCACACCAAACCCGGATCCACGGCAATCCTTCTCGACGCTTCTTCGGATCCCGCCTTCCTCACTCAGCTTCTTATACAAGCTCTTGCCTCCCCCTCATCTCGTCATCTTGCGTCTCTTCCCTTCTGTTCTGGTGTTTCACACTCCAAAAGAGAAAGCTACTAGAGATCAACAGACAGATCTACGACCCACACAGGATCAAGGACTTCTTTCCCGCTCTGCCCTGGTGTTCCACGACAGCCCAAGGTTGAGTCTCGCGACACACTCCAGTTTCGAGCCCAAAGGACCTTTCTCTCTTCACTCTCCATTCAAGCCACAAGGACTTTCAGCCCACAGGACTCTTCTCTCTACTCTCTGCTCTCTGCTCCGAGTGTTATTTACTCAGAGTTATTGCTGGAGAGCGTTGCCACCACAGGACAACTGGACATACAGCCCGAGGAATGACTGCCATTGTTGTGCCCCGGACTTCTGATAACACAATGTCTGGCTACAACACCCACGTTGAGCTGGACGAGGTTCACACCCCCTCGAGGTATTTTGCGCTGCTTTCTTATCTTCTACCTGGGAGGCCCGTTGTGCTTTTTTTGCGTTTTGCGTTTTCATCATGTTGCGTGTCAAGTCTTGTCTTTTTTTTTTTCATTTGTTCTGGCGTTCTGTGTGTTTACCGTTGCGACAATAACAACGACTTCGCCACAGCAACGCCTCAGTCAGGCTGCGCTTGAGGTGTCTTCGGCCAAAGGAGACTTGACAAATATCCGTTTTGAGGACTACTGAATTGCCTATGGAAAGCCGTTTTCATGGATATGACCCAGAGGATCACAGGAAACACATCGGACGAGACACTGCCGGATTTCGTTTTCGCCATGGACTGAACCACCAAAGGACTCGACTCTTCACTGAGTCTGACGAACTGCTGCTTTCATGCACGCATGTTCTCCTGTTATATTATTTGCATGTCTCTTCGGAGCATCTTGTGGTGAGTATCGGACAACCGGACAGATCAAGCATCTCACATTTTTATCGGACAAGAACATTCGCCATTGATCGCCGTTGGACCACCTCACCTTGCCGGACAAACATCTGGATTTTCCGTTCGGATTTTTGCTTTTTCTGTTCAAAGGATCGAGGAGACGCCAAACAACCGGTCACAGTCGAGGATTTCCAAAAGGACACCACCTTTACGCCAGGATTTCTTCATTTTTCTGCCTTTGCATGCAGCGTCCTCGTTTGTGTTCCTTACCCTTGCAGTTATTCGCAATGGGATTTGAGGTGCCAAGAGATGTCGCATCAATCGCCTTCGGTCACTCGCCCAGCATCCAAAACTGGGACACCATTTTCCTCTCATTACACTCGCCTGGATTTAACGAGAGGACCTTTGTGGATCATCCGTCGGCATGCCTGGATTTTTCAATCTCGACAATCAAGAGCCCCTGGATTCTCCGACAATACCTAAACACGTTCTCAGTTTCTGATGTTATTGTATCAGACAGGAGTCGTGTGACGGTACAGCCTTGGACTTTCACTCCTGGACACATTTCGACCCATGGTTTTGACGCCGGATTTGTTTCTTTTGTTGCCATTGCGGACCTGGTCAACCGATATGGACTGGATATGCCCGGATGTTTTCTGTTTTTTTTCTTTGTTCAAAGTCCTCCATGGATCTGGATGGCGTAATAGCCAGAAACACACTGCTTTGGCAGCCCAGTTGGTCCGTAATCATGCTCACCCCCCTTTGACCCGCGACGCAAAAACTAACATGCAGCAATGTGCAGGAACAAAGTTGTGACATCTGGACGCCGGCTTTTCTTTTTTTTATGTTTCTGCGACTTCAACCGGATTTGTTTTGATAGCATACTAACCCTTCCCCAGCGATTACAGCTTTGCCCAGACCAACATGCTTCCCTCCACTACTGGGATGTTTTCTTTCTGCCAAACAGGACCAGCGGACCTGAACGGTTCGTCTTGGGATGCAACAACGGAAGGTCCACAGAACTTTTCCGAATTCACTGTTGCCGGAGACTATTATACCACTGGAGATGCTGAGGACTGCTTTATTCCTTTCAGCCAGAACACACCAAGGCCGGATCAAACGGAAACCATGGAGGACTATCAAGCCAGGTGGAATGCTGCTGCTGCCGTGGTT